CATATACTCTTTGGACTACACGAGACTAGAATAATCACGTGACTATCAAATTTATTAATTCAATTCTATTGGTTTTCTTGTACCCACTTATACGGGTAGTCCTGAATAACTATTGTTATGAATTTACGTTGTGGTCGATTTTATCCTGTGCTATCGATCGATTCAATGACACGTAAACACGTACGGACGCCCTAGAGTCTCTATTGGTCTCGCTTCCCTGTCTAGCCCAGTCAGTTGAGTCCAGAACACAAGTCACACCCTCGGAGATATGAATCACTATATTTCAAACATACTTTGTTTATATACCAGTCAAGCATACCACATCGTACCATAAAAATAGAAAACAACATTTTGTACAATATTCAACAAGTGAACAGATATCGACCAATAGGAAATGTGCATTTAAAGTCCAAGGACACCGTTGGACTTAACATGATAATTATTGGTCTATTCCTGCGCATCCACAACACCTCCCCTTTTTTTTGAAGATCCGGAGTTGATATCCGGATTTTGAAATTTTCTGGGTTCATCCTCCCCCACGAAATAATGTTGGGTCCTCATATTCCCAAGTTAGAATTAATTTGACTTTATTTAACACATAATTGTCAGATTGAACAGGGGAGTCACTGAAAGTGATTAAATAGTGGGGAACAATGTCGCTTGATATGAGGTCACCAACGTTTGATTCTTCTGGAACATTGTCACGGGATTTGTTGAAAATCTCATTTGTAAACAGTTGATCACTGCGATAATCAACATCTATCAAAATTGTATTAGATTTCTGATCATCATTTAATGCATTTAACACATTTTCTGGTACAAAAAGATCTAGATAATAAGATTCGTCAGAATCTCCTGTTGTTGAATGATGAGGACCATTTGAAACAGCTGGATTCAGTGTACCGCACGATTTGTTCCCTGTTCCGTTGTGGGCGGGTACTGCAATTAATTTATGAGCATTTAATAAGAGATCCTCCTGTGAGCTGGGTACATCACTGTCTGTACACGTTTCAGGAACAGTGGGATTTGAACCCACGACAGGGAACGTTTCGGAATTTGACATTTCTGGACAACTGGGCGGACCATGAATAACTGTCTCGTTTACATCACTGGTCGTCCGGGATTCACAGAGGCTTTTATAAACAGCTTCATATGTTCTGCAGTTGTTTTCCAGCTCAGTCTGCAGATGAGAAATGAATTTACCAACTTCTGTTGCACCTCCGAAACATGGAACATTTACCAACAGTGTGCGTAAATTTTCTAAAAAATTTAACTGGCTATTTTTGAAGCACTGCTGTTGTTGCTCAAGTAGAAGCTGTAATCGATCGGAAAAGGTAGTCATTTTTTTTTCAGCACCTGCAATGAAAATTAACTGTAGGAATAATGACCAATGTTGCTCAAGGACGCTGGTGACAATCTGGATGCTGATTTGTCGAAACAATTAACCTGAATCTCGTCCAATTACAAGGTTCAAAATTTTTCTCCACCCCGTCGCCAATTGTTATGAATTTACGTTGTGGTCGATTTTTATCCTGTGCTATCGATCGATTCAATGACACGTAAAACACGTACGGACGCCCTAGAGTCTCTATTGGTCTCGCTTCCCTGTCTAGCCCAGTCAGTTGAGTCCAGAACACAAGTCACACCCTCGGAGATATGAATCACTATATTTCAAACATACTTTGTTTATATACCAGTCAAGCATACCACATCGTACCATAAAAATAGAAAACATTTTGTACAATATTCAACAAGTGAACAGATATCGACCAATAGGAAATGTGCATTTAAAGTCCAAGGACACCGTTGGACTTAACATGATAATTATTGGTCTATTCCTGCGCATCCACAACAACTATCCACGTAGTTTTCGACATACCCTAACCTATCTATATGTCCATTGTTTTTGGAGATACAGTTGTTACATGATACAGTTCAGACTACTATACATTCGTTCATTTCTATCCAGTTTAGATCAAACCAAAGCAATATAACTCCAGCTAACTCCACTCAAATACAATTACTGCTCATCCTATTGCCAAGATTACTACAATTCTGCTGCAATTACTCGATGGTCGATTCCTGGTGTCATTCCTAATCCTTATTATTACAATTCCGTCCTATTGACTAATATATTTATTGGTCAGTTCAAGTATTTACATACATATTCGATGATATTATGATTCAGGTTTCATTGAACCCATATGTTATCGGTCACTTAAATTAGTTAACAGATAATGTTGAACTTCTTTCGGAAAGAAGCACTAGCAGACTGAATTAATTAAAACGACAAACAGTAATAGTGGTTTCGGACATTAATGAGAACAAGAATTTTTCCCAGGTTACACTATATCACTTACAGTTTTTAGATTAAATCAGACATACTAACTAGATGGAAAATTAAGTTTTGATAAGTTTGCAGGTAATAGTCTGTGGAGTTAATGAATAACTATTACGATAAATGACTAATGATCACGCAGACAGGAAAAAAAGGGTAAATAAATTATTAACAGGCTTCAACACGAATTTTTACCTGTGGTCTATTGTTGTCAACTAACACCCAGATATTATTTTCACTGTCTATTGAGATATATGAAAATCGCCATATCGTATCAATAGTTCTCCTCGATATCAAGCTACAGACAATAGAAAACTGATTTCAAAGAAAGACAAACGGAATTTGAGCTTACTTTTCATTATCGAGTTATAAGTATTATTCATACAACGAAACCGATAGTCATTCGAAAATCTGTTGCCAAGCAAGACGTATCGAAATCAATAGACAACACAGGAGACAAGTAAGTGTGCTCTTAAAATATAACTTTTACTCTCCACTTATGAGTCTAATTATAATGGCCCTAAAATAACTTACCGTGCTTCGCTTCAATATGTTTGGTGGCATCCAAAATCATTCTTCGTACACAAGGTAAGTACGGACTGACTCCAATGAATCACTATTGTTTCCTGTATTACTTGGCCTGAAATTTGTGTAATACTAATGGTATTGAAGACAGATTTGATCACCAACAATTATTACACATAAAATATGAAGATTAAATCATTGTTTTATACGTCATAGTCACCCTTCTGACGTGCTGTGATTAAAACTACTCAAGAAATTAACACATTCCCATAAACTGTATAATTAAGTAACGGTACTTAAAACGGATAAACCATGAAATGACGATACTTAGTATTCAAATGATAAAATATCTGCAACTAGGATCTTACTAACTATTTACCCTAGTAATTAATTGTCCTATCAGGCTATTCAGTTTCTTAATACATTTTGTATCAATAAATGCGAAGATTTATGCATGTAGTTCGATTTTTAGACCACGCGAGTGTTTAGTAGTATGAATCGTTATTACAAACTATTGATTGCACTCCAAGATCCATGTAATATTTATATTAGTAAATGTTTGCGACACAGCTATGCGCTACTGAAATGGGTATGCAATAAAATAGAAAAACCAGCTTTGCTATGTTCAAGGGAAATGTAGAAATACTTCTCTAAAGATTCCTCAGTTTCGAGTAAACTGATGGGTTTTACTATGAACTAATGTACGCGACACGTGAAACCAAATTAGTGGTTCGGGAACTAGCTTCAAGAAATATGATATACTTTTCTAGGTTAGTGCAACTTTGATCTACTATAATCTACACTGGAAACAGTTTAGGCCCATCTCTTGATAGTAAGTGTAAGGAAGATCATATGAATTTTATAACAGAAGAGCCACTCAACTTTCAGTACGTGAAACATTAATTTGTGGCTATAGACCCTAGGTTGTCGGGTCTGAGGTAACACCTGAAATCATATAAAACAGCGTAGTAACAAAGTAGATATTACTATGTTCAGCTTCCAGTTACACTAATTATATGACACGGGGTTATACTACTTAGTACTTCAAATGAAAACAGAATGGCTTATTTACCAAGTAACTAATCTCCTTGAAATTCCTTATATCTGCTTGCAAAACTACGTGAAATACATTCGTATTTTATGACAAAACCAGAAGATAGTTTTGTATAATAGCAATATTTCATAAAAATTATGGTTCAAATGCATTCTACGCCTGAGTTAACAACGTCAACGATAACGAACAGTTTAAGGAAGACGACTCCCCATAAAAAAGAACACCAGTGGCAGGAAAGATAAGATTGAGATTTACTGAAGCAACAAAACACCTTAGCAGCTGTCAAGCAAGAGAATTAGATTAAATAAAGTTTTAACCGTGCACTTTTAGTGAGTCGCATTAAAAAGAATAATAAAAACTGTCCCAGTTTATCTGTAAACGACTGTTTGTTTCCTTAAAATTTATGCTGCATTCTTGTGATGTATAATGATTCGGATTGATCTTCGTGAACTGGCAAGAAGATACGTAGTTTTACTAGATGGTTGTCATTTTAATGAGCAATGTTGAGTAAATATGAATCATTTATGCAGAATACCTTAGAGTATTCCATCAGCCAACTGTACGCAGTGATCTTTAACGGAAGTATATCATTCTAGTTTCTCCAATAATTGAACAGTATTTCAGGTAGTCACAAACACACTGGTCTCGTGTATAGAACAAATCAATATTGAAGCTAAAAATTATGAAGATTCATACTTAACTTGTAAGTCAGTAAATTAGGTGATTGATTACTAATATACTTTAGTCGACAAGTTAACACATCCGGGGGTTCCATAAACTAATTACAATGCGTTCACATATCGGATAGTAGGTGCCTTAATTGATTTAGGTAAGAATTAACAAGAAAAACAGTTAAGAAAATCCACGAGTTGGTCATTGAAACATATTACAAACATTGGGTTACACAGGCGTTTGTATCATTAACCAAACCTTTGAAGGGATATTTACAGCCACTTAAACGTTCCTGAAGCTAAGAGTAGTAAAAATGAATTAAAAACACCCGAATACTTCATCTGTAACGCACCGAAAAGCAAACAAACAACCTGTGCCAGACGGAATAATTCGGCAATGACTTAAAGAGGTTGGGAATCGTATACCACGACACGTTCATTATATTACAAGACAATAGAATGTTGTTCATTGAATTCTAGTCTATCCGTGTTCAGCGGGAGTTCCGAGTCATTGGTCTGAACATGTGCATTACTCAACAAGCACTTAAATACAAATAAGCATCAACCTGTAACTTTTAACTGTCTTTCATAATGGTCAACTTTTATTCTACATACAAACAAATACAAAAGTACACATTATAGTTATAGCATTTATTGTTTTCATCCACAGAAGTCCAAAACACAAAAGGAAAACATGAGGAAAGTAGAAGAGATGCACAGAGGACATTAGATCCAAAGTTACATAACCATACAGAAGATAAATTATTTTTCATTGTTTTTACATACACATATCACAATGGGCCTGAGGCGTTAAAAAGTTATAGCAACGACAAAACTAATACAAAAATAGAAGGCAGACAAAATATTTTAGTTGGTTTCCAACATTGTTTTATTTACTTCATGTCTAACGTCAGCTTCATTCGCTCCGATAGTTACAATGTAAATATAGCGACAGAATAACGAGAGAAAAAACAAGTAATATCTTTTATATACTCTATTTACCTCGTGAATACACACAAATCCAAATAAATAAATAAATATTAGTGAATATTATGATGAAAAAAACAAGAAAGACAAGTGAATATATATGTGTTATAATCCCAAAACAGCGAACATTACAATAACCTTGAGTAATATAAATAAGGATTTACTCCGAAATTTTAGATGATGCATTGCTGGTCTTTGGAGAAGCGATGGGTGGTGCATTTCCAGTTGGCAAGGAAGAAGTTGATAGAGCATCTACAGAATTCTAAAACAGGAAAGATAATTGAAAGAAAAGAATTTAGGACTGATGATGACGAATCGGAAGAATAAGCAGGCCTAAGGAAAATTAAAATTCAATACTTACTTAAACCTGTTACCCCTCGTGGAGAAGCATAGACCACCCACCAGCACTCTCCATCGAACTCTGTCCTGGGCAATCCTTTCCAGTTGCTATCCATTTTTTTGATGTCTGCGTCCGATTCCCGACACAATGTGTTCCTTGGACTTTATCTTTTCCTTTAGCCTTCAGGATTCCAAGTTGGTGCTTGCTTCGCGATTCAGTTTGATGTTTTCCTCAATGTATGCCTTATCCACTTCCAGAGTTTTTTCCTAATTTCCTCTTCAGTTCGAAGCTGGTTTGTTTTTTCCACGGTAGGCTGTTGCTGATTGAATCCGACCAACGGATCTGGAATATTTTGCACAGACAGTTGTTTGTGAATACTTGTACCATTTTGATGATGGTTGTGGTAGCTATCGAAGTTTCAGCTCCATACAGTAGAGCTGTCTTGACATTCGTATTGAAGATTCTGACTTTGATATTAGTTGATAGTTGTTTTAAGTTCCATATGTTCTTCAAGTGTAGGAATGCGGCCCTCGCTTTGTTAATTCTCGCCTTTACGTCTGCATCGGATCCTCCTTGTTCATCGATGATGCTGTCCAGGTATGTGAAGGTTTCCAACTCTTCCAAAGTGTCTCCATCAAGTGTGATTGGGTTGGTGTTCTCCGTGTTTTATTTCAGGATTTTGCTATCCCTTGTGTATGTTGAGGTCTATTGATACAGCGGCTTCTGCTACACTGTTTGTCTTGACCTGCATTTGTTCGTGTGTATTGGATAGAAGGGCCTGATTGTCTGCGAAGTCCAAATCGTCTAGCTCATCCCAAGCTGTCCATTGTATTCCGTGCTTCCCGTCAGATATGGAGGTCTTCATAATGCAGTCAACAACCAGAAGAAAGAGCAAGGAGGAGATTAAGTCGCCTTGTCTGACTCCGGTTTTCAATTGGAATGTGTCTATCAGCTGCCTTGCATATACAACCTTGCAGCGTAGTCCGTCGTGTGAATCTCGGATGATGTTTCACGATCTTAACAGGTATGCCATAGTGTCGAAAAAGTTTCTATGTTTCGCCTATCCACACTGTCAAACGCTTTCTCACAGTCAAGGAAGTTGATGTATAGTGACGAATATCATTAAATTGATTGCTCGATAATGATCCATAGAGTGGCGACTTGGTCTGTACACGACTGATCCTTACGGAATCCGGTTTGTTGATCTCGAATCTGTGTGTCTGCCTAATCTTTCACCAGGTTCAGCAACCCTTTGTTGAAAACATTTCGTGGTACTGATAGCAGCCCGACCGTTGCTGCTACCTTGATGTGGTGGCCAGGTTTGCATACTGTGATGAACCAGTCGAGCCATACTGGTTAGAACAATCGTTCCTCAAGGTCCAACCATAAGAGACAGGTCAGTTGAAGAACGGTAAGACTAAAAGCAGCAAACTCAAGGTCCGAAGGCGAAGTCGTTCTGCTGACTGTACAGTGGTGTGACGGCAGTAAGGTGTTTCCTTCAGACAACCAGCATGACAGCGATGCTGCCTTCCCACAAAGAGGGGTGGGGGGTCAGAAGAAATCGACCCTAAAAATACACATCTCTTCTTATCCCATGGATTTCCGTCTCCGGCGGTAAGGTTCCAATATGTACGGAGCCAACACGAAAATTACTCACAAAACGTCGTGTGTGACCGACATCACGCAGTTGTTCCCTTGACAATGCGGCCACGCTCTCAGATTACTAAGATCACCTCTAATCTGACTTCTTTTTCAGGTACTTCCAGAAGAACCCTTCCACGATGTGGACAACCGGGAAGTGATAACCGCTCTCATACTTCTAACAGCACTCAAGACCATTGTATTAATAATCAATCTTGCCCTTCAATTCCTACTATTCCTCTTACATCGAATTTCAACTCTAAATTTCCTCTTTTGGCTCCCTTCTCAAGTTTCACCATAGCCAACGATTCTAGTGCGCGAAACACTATCCCAGGTCTACTGAAACCTCGCTGCAAACTATACATTGGAGCATTCAACGTACGTACCGTATGTCAAATCGGCCAGCAGACCTCCTCGGCTAAAACCTTAGAATCTCGTACCATTAATGTATGCTGTCTCCGAAACACGCATTTAGGATTCTAGTGTGGTCATTCACTTGATCTCACCTCTCCAAAACAGAAAGCCGACGAGATACATTCTGCGTGTATCTGGAGACCCGATGACTAGTTCATGTGGACTGGCAGGTGTAGGTATATCGATAAGTACAATGGCAGAACAAGCACTATTAGACTGGAACCCCGTTAACCGTCGTCTATGTGCTGTTAGGCTAAAGGCTCCGTAAGAACTTCGAAGGAAAGGGACACGTCGTTGCTTTTCATCGCTCCCACTGACTGCAGCCTGGATGAAGTGAAAGATGACTTTCACAGAAGGCTCAACGCTAAGACAAAGTACTCGTAGCAGGTGACTTTAATGTCCAGGTAGGTAGCTTAAACCAAAGAAAAAGACATTTAGATGCGAATTTTGATATTCCGGCTCACAGAACAGATAATGGTGACTGCTGCAGCAACTGTGCTCAGACAATCGTTTACTTTTAGCAAATACTATTTTAAGCATAAGGAGAGATATCCTTTCACATGGCGACCACCTGCATCAAACCAACGATGGACTCAAATAGACCATATTGCCATCAGTCATCATTGAAGTGGCTCAATAGAAGACTGTCGCTTGTTCTGGAATATCCGTCTGGACTCCAATCATGCTCCAATACGAACATGTGTTTGCTTGCGTCTCTCTGAACGCGGGCAAATCACATCGAGAAGACCCATTAGAGACGAACTCAGTGACGAGGAAGTCAAAAGTAGATTACAGGAACAACTGAGGTCACATTTACGTAGTTCTGAAAACGAGACTGACCCAGATGTTGCTTGGAACGAACAGCTGTGGAAATAGCAGTGACATCTATTAGTGATTTAAACCAAAGGGTTACGAAGAACCAATGTATTTCTACTAAGTCTATTGCACTGATGGATTCTCGCGAACTTACCCCATCAGGCCCTAAACACGATGAAAAACGAAAACAAATCAAATCTAGATTAACCATAAGTCTAAGGAACGACCGTGAGCAGTGGTGGACAACGAAAGCAAAGGAGATGGAAAAGGTGGCGGTTGTAGGCAACACCAGATAGCTTTTCAGACTAATAAAAGAAACGAATTAGGAAGTTATGTGTAAGTGAGACGATCTCGGAAAAAGACGACACTTATCTGCTCTCAGCGTAGACGCTTAGAACGATGGACGGAGCACTTTGAGGAGCAGTTTAACTGGCTTTCAGTTACTCTACGACTACCCACCATTCTCAAACAGTCTGAATGGAACATTGAAGTAGGTCCCCCAACTCTATCAGAAGTTCAAAAGGCTATAGTTAATCTGGAGCGAGGAAGAGCAGCTGGTCCAGATGGATTGGCTTCAGAGGTCTTCAAGTATAGTGGTCCAGCTTTAGCGATTAGGTTGATCAATATTTCAAAAAGACCTGGGAGTTGGACGTAATTTCATCTGACTGGTCGCAATTACTGATTGTCCTGATATATAAGAAGGGGTCAAAACCATCCTGTGGTAACCATAGAGGGATTAGTTTGACTGACGTAGCATCTTAATTACTGGCCTCGATAATTATCGGGGGTCTAACAAAGACATGTGAACTGCAAACACGAGAAACTCAGCCTGGATTCAGACGTGGTCGTGGCTGAGTCGACCACATATTTACCATTCGTCAGGTTCCAGAACACAGGCATACTTATCGGCGTTCGACAATAGTGGTCTTCCTTGACTTAAAAGCAGCATTTGACTCCGTAGACCGCGAGATTCTGTGGCAGTGTTTGTCATTGAAAGGCGTACCTCAGAGGTACATAAACCTTGTGAAGGCTCTTTAATCGAATACTACCAGTCGAGTCAGAGCCTATGGTGAACTGTACTCTGATTTCTCAACCACAAGTGGTGTCCGACAAGGCGGACCACTTTCTCCATTTTTGTTTGACTCCATCATCGACCTACTGATGGAAATAACGTTCTCGTCGTCTGAATTTTCAGGCATTGGTCTCCTACGAGGAGGTCCACTTATCGACTTAGAATACGCAGATGACATTGTTCTGTTTGTTGAGGACGCTGATAAAATGCAGTCTTTTGGTAGAATTGAGCAACAATGCCAGAATGCTTGGGATGCGTTTTTCCCCCTTTAAATGAAAATTGTTGCTCCAGGACTGGCCTGTGTCAACACCTAAACTAAGGATAGGGAGTGAAGTAGTAGTCGAACGCGTCGACAACACTTATCTTGGAAGTCTGATCAGCCCTAATGGGTTGGCGTCTGAGGAAATCTCTGCACGGACTCTGAAAGCTCGTTTGGCTTTTTCCAACTGACGTCACTTATGGCGGAGGAGAGATATATGCCTGGTCCTACCTTTTTCGCTGACTGACTGACTAACCGATAGTAGTGTGATACCTCTGTAGTTCTCAGATTTGCTGAGATTTCATTGCTTTGATATCTTGATGAGGTGTCTTTCTTCCACTCAGTCAGTGGCACTTTTTATTCCTCCCAAATCTTCCCGAATAGAAAATGGAGCATGTTCGCAGTTACTTCTATGTTTGGCTTCATATTGTTGTTAAAGATTCGGTTTTCTGGCAGCCTTTCTGTTGTCATGGCATTCTTCCACATATTTTCGCTTATCAACTCTAACGCTTCTCTACTTGATTGTTTGCTTCTGTGTATTTGGCCTGTGAATTAGCTTTATCTGCACTTGTCCGATTGTTTTTAATCCGTTTTCTTGTTCTTCCTTTCCTGAAACTTGTACAGGTTTTCCATAGAGACCCATTCCTTATGACGATGCTTTGTGATGCCCAGGACCACCTGATACATTGAAGCTAGTGCTTCTTTGATTCCTTTACAATTTTCCTGCATAGTACTTTCTTCTTCTCTCATTAGATCTTGCAAGACTTGGGACCTGTTGTTGAGAGTTATCTTGAATTCGTTGAGTTTGTCAGTATGTCGAAGGAAGGCTGCATTGAACCATCGTATGACTGTTTCCCCAGACGTTCAGTGTTTCTTTAACTTCAGTTTCATTTTGGTAGTCACAACTAGGTGGTGATCTGAGGCTTTGTCAGCTCCTCTCCTGGTTCCCACGTCTTCCCATTGACCTGCTGAATTTTTTACTGATATAAATATGATCGATCTGGTTCCGTGTAGTGTTATCCGGTGGGACCTATGTAGCTTTGTGCATGCATTTGTGGGGGAATGCACATAAATTTGCAAATCCCCCAACATTCTCGTTCCTTCCTCACAGTCCACATTGTTCCATGATATCTTCATACCCGGTGTTGTCCATTCCGACTTTGGCGTTTAGGTCTTCCATCAGGATGGTCGGGTCCCTTCTTGAGCACTTCGCTATGATCGATTGCAGCCTCTTGTAGAAGTGATCTTTATCATTGTCGTTACTATTAGTGAAGGGCTAGTAACACTGAAAACACTCATTGTGATTCCTTCTTGCCTTGTTTTGAAAGATGCTGGGTACATGAGATTCCTATCCTATAAGTGCATAACGTGCTTCTTTAAAAAGCATCAGCGCAACTCCTTAAGTGTGCGAGTTATTTTCTTCTTCATGACGAAAGTAGAGGGGCATCTCTCCCGAATCTAACGTTTTTTGTCCAGCTTGGGTCTAATGGGTACCACTGATTCCAAGCACCTCCAAGTTGTATCTCCTCATTTCCGTTGCTACTTGATTAGTCTTGGCGGCCTCTCACATTGTCCGAACATTCCATGTACCTATATTAATTGTTGCTCTGGTTGTTAGAAGAAGCATCGGTTTTCCCCATGGGGCGTCATAATTTTTTTGAATAAAGATGCTTTAACATCCAGGGCAGTTTAAATGGTTCAAATCGTTTATTGTGGTTAGAATTTTTTTAGCAAGGTTGTCTTCTACGGGATGGGGATGCTGAGCTTATGACCAACCTTTCTCCTTTACACAGGGTAGGCTGGTTTCAGAAAAAAAGGAATCGCATACACATTATGACAGGTAGTTATATGAAAAAAAAACAGAAGTTGTTTACAGTTTCTTCGCCTAGTTACTATGTGAACCGTCCTTTAAATTGAGTACTTTATTGTAAATATTCAATGTTAGCAGTCTGTCTCATCGAGTAAACAGTGTGTACACACACACATACACAAACGACCTTGGTATATTAATCAACAAGTTGTTTGGGGTTAAGGTCAAATATGAAACTAATTTTCGTATGTAAAGAACTAAGCAACGAAAAATAATATATAAAACATACAGGTAGCTGACGCCCTTTTGTTTCTATTGGTAGGAAAAGGGATACAATTGAGACTATCAGGGTTACAGAGGCATATAAAGATAAAGCTCCAATTTCCGATACTTCTGGCATCATTACTTGAGCTACATAAGGTGTGACCATTGCACCCAATCGGGCAATCGAACTGAACATCCCGACAGCTACTGCACGAACAGTTGTAGGATAGACCTAAAAATAAAGATATGGGACGGGTTAGTATACAATAATGTGGCTTTAATCGATTAAACCCTAAGTATAAACTATTGAGAATCACTTGGAGTATTTAGTCAGTAATAAGAACTCAGAGAACAATAAATGAAATAATGTTACGGCAGTGTTATGCGGCAATTTTTTAATAGGAAACGAAGCTGCTTATTTTCACCAAAATACAATCAAGTTAATGAAAAAAATGGAATTGTCTGAATTCAAGAGAACTATACAAACCATACAAATAAATAAAATAAATATTAGATTCCATGATGTTATATTAGCTATTATATACGGTAGGAAGAAAGTCAGTCAGTCAGTAACAACGTAGAACTTCGTACGTACGTACATCAGTTCCAGTTGCCATACCACATTAGCACAGAGATGCAGTTGTCGATTCAAATCCCGTAGTGGTAGATAGAGGTAGTAAGAGTATAAGCAGTAATCGGAAAGATTATGGTTTGAAGATGTTATTCAAGTAGTATAATCCAGTGAAATAAATTTGGAAAGAGGAAAAAAGGGACATGAAGAATTCAGAAGATTAGAATTTGGGAGAACACAAAGAGTGGATGCACTTGCGCCATTGCAAACGATTTTGAGCCATGTCATTCAGGGTCTCTAACCATCGGTTGCTATCATCTCGTGGTCCCCAACCAGGTGGTCTACAACTACCAACATGACTCAGTCCACTTGTCAGTGACTTCATGGACTTGTACCATGTTTTGGTTTGGCCGCCTCTACCTTACTAGAAGATATCACTGCTGTTTCCACAGCTTTTCGGATATCATTGCATGCTGCCTCGGAGTGGACATCACATACATGGCTGCCTAACTGTTTTCCTAGTTGTTCCTGAAATATGCTCTTAGCTTGACTATCATTAAGTAGGGCCCAAAGAGGTTTACTTGCAGTGTCTTTCCTACGTCCAGTAAGACGCAGAGAGATACGCGCTCGTACTAGAGCATGATCTGAATCTAAGCATGTGTTCCAGAATGAGCGACAGTCTTCTATGGAGCCCCTCCATCGGTGGCTGATAGCGATGTGATCTATTTGGGTCCAACGTTGGGACGAATTAGGTGGTCTCTACGTTAAAAGATGTTTTTCTTTATGCCTAAAGTTAGTATTTGCAAGGAACAGGCGGTTATCTGAGCATAGCTGAAACAGGTCGCCATTATCTGTTCTTTGAGCCACGATGCTATAAGATCCACCCACGTGTCTTTCCCTATCGCTTAGTTTACCTACTTGAGCATTAAAGTCACCGGCCACTATTACTACATCAGAGCGCCTAGCTTTTCGGAGAAGGTCGGAAAGCTTTCTGTAAAACTCATCTTTTACATCATCTGAGCTGCAGTCAGTGGGAGAATAGGCAGAGACGACGAAGAGGCAACAACGAGTGTCCCTATCTTCTCGGATCCTTAGTGTTCCGTTCAGCCGGACAGCACACAAACGGCTGTCTACTGGGATCCACTCTAAGAGAGCTAGTTCTGCCCTAGGACTCAATGCTATACCTACGCCGGCGAGGCCACGGGAAGCAGAATCAGGGCTTCCAGATACACGAAGCGTAAATCGAGTCGGTTCTTTATTTTGGCATGGTGAGGTCAAGTGAATGACGCTACTCAGATCCTGTATGCGCGTTTCGGAGACGCAGCACATCGATGGCGCGGGATTCTAAAGTCCTAGCTAAGGAAGCCTGTTGTCCTATTTGGCACAGTGTTCGTACGTTAAAAGCTCCTACGTGTAGTTTAGAGCGTGGTTTCAGGAGACCAGGAATAGCGTTCCGCGTACTCGAATCGTTTGCCCTAGCGGTGCGAGATGATAAAGAGACGTGAGAAGGGTTAGTCATGGAGATAAGAGAGGTATTAGGAGGTGTAGGAAGGATTTGAATGTGACCAACTTGGTCTCGTGTGCTGTTACGGGTATGAGGGCTGATATCACTTCCCGGCTGCCCACACCGTGGAAGGGTATTTCTTGAGGAACCTGAAAAGGAAATTGGATTAGTGTTGGTCTTAACGACCTGGGAGCGTGACCGCAGAGCCCAAGGGACAACTGCTTGAGGCCGGTCGCGCACGGCCTTTTCGTGGAAGGTTTTTAATGTGTTAGCTCCGTTCTTCAAAGGGCCTTACCGCCGGAGACGGAAATCCGTGAGGTAAGGTGAGGTGTGACATTTTTATGGTCGACCTTTTCTAACCCCACCCCTCCTTGTGGGAAGGCAGCATCGTTGCAGATGCTGGTTGTCCGAGGGAAACACCTTACTGCTGTCACACCCCTCTACAGTCAGCAGTACGACTTCGCCCTCAGACCTTGAGTTGCTGCTTTCAGTCTTATCGTTCTCCAATCGACCTGCCTGGCATGGTAGAACCTACAGGAACATATGTTCCAGCCAATATAGCTCGGTTGGGTCATCACGATAGGCCAGCCCGACCACCGCGTCAAGGTAGCAGCTTCGGTCGGGAGAAAATGTATGTATGAATAAAAAAGAACGCTAGTACGATTTAAAAGAATATTATTATAGGTGTAAGATGTGAAATCATTATATTGAGTGAAGATGCTCTTGAATTTCAATAAGTCTTACAATTAGGAAAGAACATTTCTCACGCTGTCTTTTCCTGAGGTGGTCTCTCACATTTACTGGTTAAAACATTCTTTCGTAAGAAATGAGATGGGGTAGTTAGCACAAATTACATACGAATACTTACAAAAAAAAATTATCAGCAAATAACTCCCAAGGAACTTATGTATAAAAACTTACCTCCGTTGTGTAAACGTATGCACAACTAAATAAACCGGCAGACAAAGCGCGCAAAACAAATAATAGAGCTGTTAAGGCTGATTTAGGCATACAAAGATAAAGTAACATAAACAGAACAGCTATAAGTCCATTCCACGTAGCCAAAGTAATCTTTCTTCCAGCTAAGTCGACCATGAAAATCATTAATGGTATACCTGAAAAAGAAACAGACAAGTGACTGAAAGAACCATAAAAAAGAAATAGTAGCTGACTTGAAAACATGCGAAGGAAGGAAGGACTAACTAACAAACAGATAAAGTACAGTCAAAGCTTTTAAACGATTTTTTTACGTAGAGAACTATTAATTCGCTACTTCACAAGTCGATGATCACCTACTACAATTACCTAACAAATATATGCAACTTTACGTAGTCGAGAAGTAAAAACAAGTCAGGATTACTTTTCTTCCATATAAGGCTATTTAGGGTGATATCAGAAGCAAATGTCAGGATTAATGACAAGCCAAGTCTGTGAAGGTGAATGAGATAGCTAATCTATTCCTAGTTAGATGATGAGAACAAATAAAATACACTACGGAAGTGCCATAAAAAGGTAAAATCAAAGTAGAAGAAAACGAATATTCAATATTCTGTGAGATTGATTGTACGTGTTGCAATAACATCAAACTAATCGAAATACTAAGATACTAGCGAATGAGAATGATACCAACAGATCATGGATAACCAAAAAAGGAAGCTAGGAAAGATACTCACATCACAACATTTGACAATCTTGACAACAGAGATCGAGATATCAAGCAGACGACATAGAGAACAAAGAAACACCCTCAAGAACAAAAACTAATCAAGATTGCAAAGTCACCCATAGAAGAAAACACAAACAACTGTGTGGTCAACCTGGTAAAACAACCTCTGATGAATAAAGAATAAAATCCCCGAAAAGCATTTAACTACAATGCACGTGACACTTAAAACTAGAATTTTTCGCTGCATTAGAGTCATCACTTTAAACTGTCGGGATAAATGAAGAAACCCAAGAGAAATTAAAACAAACCATAGTACCGCTAACTCGACAGGAAAAAGAGGACACCCGATTGACCGCGCAAGAACAGGAAATTTTAAAGAAACTCAAAACAAGAAAAGATATTATAATAGTTCAAGTGCAAAAAATGCACTACAGTCTTTATGGAGAAGGAAAGATATATCAGGAAAACAAAGACCTCCTTGGGGATAAAAGCCTAAACAAATCAGTGAATAAAATTTCAATCAAGATCAAAAGAGAATGGAATTCAATGGGTCAGTACTCCCTTGACTTTATGGTGAGTCGAAAATACACAAGCCAAATACCCCCAGTATGTCAAATTGTATCGCACATCGGAAGCCCAACATACAATTCATCAACAGAAACTTCAAGAATATTGAAACCTTTAATAGATTCATCCAGTCAAGCGATCGAATCTCCCATAAAGATGTTGAATAAGATTACCAACATTCAGGCCAACAATAACGAACTGGTGTTATCTGTTATGACTGCGTCGCCACTTGACAAGTCTGGTCGTTGCTAATGGTTATGTATGAAATGCTTATTACTTATATTTGAAAAAAAAACAAGGAAATATTCCAATTTCCACAACGCGAATTAAAAACACCAATACTGGAACAAATCAAAATTTATAAACCTCAAAACATGACGAAAACCCTTGTGTCGAAAATACACTCATTTATATATTGATTGTACACCCAGCTTCATTAATAATTAGGATGAAATCACATATATGAAAAATACCCAGAGTTATAACGAATCACATGCTGCATGTCATGCTGTGCATAGTTTATATTAATCTAATACAAGAATATCATATCTTGACTAAACATGATACTCAAATAAATTAATGTTAAACTGAATAAAATATCACACTGTCAAATAAACACAAATATTACTCTGAATAATTAACGCATTGAATTAAAAAACACGGAAGTAATGTTCCTCATGAACGACATGAATCTCCAAAAGCACACAAGAACATGTCGTTTTATGCTTAAGAACATACTTTCAGTTCAACTATAAAATCTACGAATAAACGAAGGGAACGCAAATATCAGGACTCATTACAGAGGCAATGATAGAGAGATTTGAAGTCACTGTCTTACCGGTGATCAAGACAGTAACTTGGATTCGTTATATGAATGACAATTATGTTATCATCAAAGGTGATGAGTCGGAAAACACGTACCGTCTGATCAGCAACATATTCAATGATATAAAATAAATCCCAAGCAAATCAAAGGATGAAATGACAAAAGAAAAAAACTGGACATCATCTACAAGGTAAATTTTTCCGATTGCAAAAAACACTACATCGGATAAAATGGATGACTCCTTCGGCTTTGCCTGCACGAACATCAATTAGCAGTCAAACTCCATGACATATCTTCGCTTATATCAGTCCATGTGGACCACTTTGGACACAAATTCGACTGGGAAAATGTTGAAATCTTGGATAGATGGAATACTAAAAACGCTAGATAAGTTTTATAAGCTTGGCGCTCAGGTCAACAGACACAACAAATTGATCCAATTTACCAACCAATCAGAAGAATCAGGGACAAATATAGGACCAAGAATCAGATCAAGGGAACATACAATCAATATAATAAAGTACACAATGACAGGTTAAAGGTCAACAACAACCAATCAAGATCGACGTCGACAGGACAAGCTGTGAGTCATATGATGGGGAATTCAAATGCTCCGCTTCTACCTGAAGTTTGGCGCTGATTTTGTTCGGAAGAACAATGAAAGCTCCAGAACTAAACCACCTAGCTCAAAGAACAAAACTCCACTTGAATATGAATGTTAATGATTGGCTACTTGACTGAATAGTACATCATATTCTATCCTGATTGTCAATTCGAAAATTGAGGGAACTATATGCATCTAATCAGTCACAACAATAACATAGCTTTTGGACCTCTTAAACTATCGTTAAAAAGTTAAATGACAAAAGACTTAGCAAATTACAACAAGCATATGCTCACATGTAAAGCAATTAAACAATGGAATAAACTGGTTTATATTGATCAGCAATTATAAAAATACTACGTGTATACAAAAATATCTATCGATTTTGTAACAGATCAACTAAATCTACCACCTTCTATACCTTCAGAAATATATCTTACGTGATATACATGTATATTGAAAACTGCACTGTGGTATATGTATTAGTTCAATATTTGAATCCATAAGACATAAATACAACATATAAACTGATAATGTAAACAAGCAATACAACATATGTTTTGTATGTACACAAACTTCCTGGAAAACGTATCATTAAGTGACCATCAAATAAAACAAATAAAACAATTTAGCAAGAGTATGGATAGAGGGGAAACTTAAAATTAGAGGAAATGTGAATTTAGTTGATCTATTGAATACAATCTAGTGTCCTAAAACCTCTAACCAATAAAACTATCGCCCGTACTACGTAGACAAACATTTAGCGATTTTCGTTACATTTTGGTACAAGAATATTCAATATAGTCTTAGAGAAAAGTGGTAATTGCTAAGGGAACCTCAGAAGAACCGACGGTGCATTATTTCAAGGGTTCTCAAAAAAGGATCATTTATTCATTGTTCGCCTGATAACATTTTAAAGACTTTTTTTTACAAACTGACACAAACTTACTAACAAATTCACCAATTGAAGAGACTAACATAGCGACATAATCATCATCAGACAACTCTTTACAACAAAAGTTGTCTATTTGGCTTGAAGTTTCCAGAAGTGGTGGGACGTTAAAATGGCTCAGGTTACCATGATAGTCTGGGGTTAGAATAGGTTCTAATAAGCAAGAAAAAACGAAAACCAGATAATTATATTACTGTAGATTTACTAAAGCCTTAAACAATGAGTTATTTCTATGCTAATCAAAAACTGTCGTACTACTGGACAAAGAAACATGCAAAGTCTTTCGATTAAGGTTACTTGAAGGCAGAAAGCTAAACTTACTACCAAAACAAGAGTGCTTGAAGCGAAATATTTCAGCACTTAATAGAACGACACCATAATAAACAAATGCTGCACTGAACCATACAATCGGCAACATTAGTGTAGTCACTAAATAGGTTTTCCCAAACATTCCTTTTATACTGCCTCTATCTCGTATCTATAAAACAGATGAAAAGATAATGATCTGTTTAGTTAGCATAAATAATTGATACATTCATCTGAACAAAACAACCCTGATAAAAAGTGAACCCGAATTGGAGGAATATAATTTATTCAACTTGAATATTTTACGGATTGGGACGACCAGTGCAACTCTTATTATGTTCGTTCACTTATGAGACTATAATTGGAGTTCTTAAAGTTCCATCTCAAAAAATGTAATACGAACTCCCGCAAATACTAATGTATTTTTCACTAAAATCAAGACTTGTTTAAATGTAGATAAACTCACTTAGTCTTTATCCGTTTTCATTTGTTACTTAATTCCTGGTGATTATCACAACGACTAAATCAATATTAGAAAGAATTCAAGTCGTCCTATAAATAGCTTGGTCAAATTTAGTTACAACACATAGTTCATTATTGCTCCCACTTCAACATGCATTAAAACAGTATTTTGATGCACATCAGTTTGCTTACAAATGCAAAAGAAGTACATTAGATGCTGCTGTCGTTCTGCAGCATAATATAGCGCTTAGTTTCGGAAAGGGTAAGAAATGTGTTTCATGAACATTTCTAGACTATATTACTTTCGAGAACACTACCACTAAACAAGTTTGGCAGCGTTAACACTGACAGCTATCTGGGTATGTCTTACCTGTTCGAAAGAGAACAGTGTACCATGCTTGGAGAAAAGTGTTCAACGTCTCTACTAACTCAAGATGCGCCACAAGGAGTTACCCTTTTCTCTGTTCTTTCTTCATTTTTTCTTTATGATCTGAGATTCCCTATAGAACATTCTTTATTACGTATGCTAGTGGTCTTATTCCATTTCTGCCTCTTCACATCCCCTTGAAATGAAAGAATTCTTGTCTCTCATTGGACGATGGTATGTCTCCAATGGTCTTGCACTTGATTATTTTAGGTGTCAAACTACTAATTTTAGCCTGGAACATGGGCAGTACTCAAATACCATTTTGGAGTCCCATTAAGTTTGTAATATCTTAGCGTAAACTTTTCCTTTGATCTCTCTTGAGCTTCTCACGTTTTATTGATATCGAAGAAAGTTTTCCGTTTGACTTATTTTATAGAGACCACATACTTTTGGAATTACTTGACATTTACTTTTACGATTTGTAAGTTCTTGAATATCATCTATCGTACTTTACTGTTTGAAACCACTCCCTTCCGGGTATTTTAGAAAAGACTTTGTTGTGTTGCAGAGTGCTGAAGGGGGTTAGCAAGGCATGTGGCGAATCTTTTGAAGTCATTATGAATATAGTTGTGGATGGACAATTTAAATCTTGCGAACTCCTGACAGATGTTATCTTATGTGATAATAACCATCCATTTCATTTATATCTTTCTTCTTGTGAATTTTCTGGCAGAATGAAACGTCAATACATCAGAAATCATGGACGCAAGCAAAGGTATAAAGGCTCTAAAATACCGTATCTATCTGTTGTGGATGCGCAGGAATAGACCAATAATTATCATGTTAAGTCCAGTGGTGTCCTTGGACTTTAAATGTACATTCCCTATTGGCTATTATTTAATTCATTCGTTACATATTGCGTAAATGTTGTTTACTATTTTTATGGTACGCTGTGGTATGCTTGACTAGTATATAAACAAAGTATGTTTGAAATATAGTGATTCATATCTCCGAGGCTGTGACTTGTGTTCTGGACTCAACTGACTGGGCTAGACAGGGAAGTGGGGCCAATCGAGACTCTAGGTCGTTCGTACGTGTTTACCTGTCACCGAATCGATCAATAAACGCTGCTTATCAAACCCTGCAGTCACATCAGTCATAACACTATCAAATATACTATGAGACGAACATGTTGTAAAACCTGTCTTGGACAAAAACTTGTATTCTTAAACATGTTTCCAACTAAAAACATGTATAGATTCTTATTGTATTAAAAAGAAACTTAATTTGAAGTAGTTTATATACTAATTTCATGTATATATGTATGCACCTACTGACTTTTGTTTTGTAAAAGAAAGTTATCGAAATATTTTGTGTTGAGAAGTCCATGTTGTACGACACATGATATTTAATAAAACCATGAATAATAATGATAACAATAATTTCATAATGCTGTACGCCTAAATGACGGAGATACTCCGATTTAACTGGAATTTCTCTTATTAGAAACATGGATAAGAAAACCTAGTAAATAATGGGAGCAAAACACTCTCATTACGAATGAAAACTAACAAATACTACATTGATTAAGAATTGGTATGTTTTATTTTAAGCATCAAGTACATTTGTCGACATAAAGAGATAACACAAGTGGAATTATGGTGAATAAAGATTGGAGATGGTTGGATTAACAAGCTGAATAGATACACCCGGTTCTAGACTTCCTGTCTAAAGTGTGCACAGAAATGTAGGACAATGAACTAACTCTCAGATTGCAGAAATTAGTTGCTGAAGACTTTATGTGAGGTCAATTAAAACTATCGTTTTGCAGCCACAAACAAATCGCCTATCTCGAGACAAGCGACAAAGATATTTTGATTGATCCATCATTTTTTTCTCTTCGGCATACTTCGGCGTTATTTATAATTTCTGTACTAGCGTTTCGTAATTAATGATGACGTGAAACGTTCAATAAGTACAAATTTCATGAACTCGATTTTGAGTCACACCACTTATATGTAGAGGGTAGTGATGTAACCCAGCTACCCGAACTAAAGTGACACTGGGTTCGAACAAGTGACCAATAGGTTGAGAACTGATTGCTTTAACCACTAAACTGTCTGATTAAGAATTACAGCAACAACCGACTGGGGCATCCTCCAATCAATACCATAGTTTATAAGTGTAAAATATCATTTTTAAGGACCTCTTTTGAATCTTGCAAAATTCACATGAACAACAGTGTAAGTGTAGTTAACGTCTTAAAAAAAATCCAAGAAAATATGAAAATTTAGAATCTTACAGGCAGAGATCTTAACTGCAGGTCTTTTTTATTCACTTGCAGAAATATGTGTATGCAAGGCAGTTAATTAAGATCTAATGGATAGAAATAACTTTTTGAAGTGTAGAAGTCTTCTACCTGAAGTTTGTCATTGTTGCGAAACAAGTGATAAAAAAAAGAGTCAATAGAAAGAAAGAATGATCGTACTCAAGGCCACTCTTTTGGTGGCTTCATAAATATATTTATCATAAATTAAACATGGGAAAGCAGTAGGTAAATAGAAAATTATGTGAATAAACAAATCACAATACTTATGTCTGACATTGAATCGATTTTGAAGAAGCTAAATGAATTAATAGATATGTACTTTAGAAAAAAAGGTGGATTTCGTTTAATAAACAACCAAAGAAAAGAGAATCATAATACATATTGAATCGATAGAAAGGCAGTACTAGCTACAGTGCCATAAACTAAAATGGATGGCAAGTAAAAAGCTCCTTGCTAATTGAAATTCCATTAAGACATGGGTTCCTCTTGCATAAATTTGGGACTTGATTCTTCAATAAATTGCTGAAGGTTAAACTGTTGGGATATTCAGAAAAATATCCCAAAAATTATTTTGTGAAGTCTAACACTATCCTTTGGACTTGAGATGGTATCATTTTCTTATTGGTCAATATTTATTTCACGTGTCATTTTCCTACTGGTCAATATTGTAAAATGTTATTTTCTATTTTATGGTACGATGTGGTCTGCTTGATTGGTATATAAACAGAGTATGTTTGAAATATAATGATTCATATCTCAGAGGCTGAGACTTGTGTTCTGGGCTCAACTGGCTGGGTTAGACAGGGTAGTGGGACCAATCAGAACTCTAGGTCGTTCACCCATGTTTTACGTGCCGTTGGTCCGATCGATAATACGCTTCGCTATAATCTGCAGTTCACGATTGTAAAGTCTCGTTTGGAAAGTAAGAAGTTTATATTAACAAGTCATAGTAATTTGATCTGAATTGGAAAAAAGACTCGAAAGTCTTTTATGTACATGTTTTATATCATCTTGATAGATCACAGAGCAGATAAGCACTCAACAACATTTGTCATGATTAAAGAAACATTGTGTTTTTGGTGTAACAGCAGTTTACAGCAACAAAAACACATAGATTAGACTTTGATATATTCTATTCCATTGAAAGAAAGTCTGAACAAGGTTGACTATCCAGTTGTAAACTAAATAGGATAATTTTTGGTAGAATGGTTTCATGAATATATTTCGTATTTTGAGGAAGTTGTCATCAGAGATAGATAATAGCAAGTAAACCTATGGGAATAAGATAAAACTGAACAGGCGTTTGGTTCGAGTCTAGAAATTCTTAAAACTGACGTTTGTGCGTGACGAAAATCATCTACAAATAATACAGAAATCTGTACAAAACCCCCTTAATAGCAATTGTTCTAATGGGAAGCTGTGAACTATGTAGTCAAGATAGTAATGAGAAAGAAAAATGCGCATCAACGATGCAACGCAAAGTGGGGGACGGACTAATGTTGAAAATATGTTTCAATGAGGGATGGTAAGACTTCTAAGGTAAGTGAAGTGGTCAACGCACTCAACCATTTCGCTCATTGTCATTAGTTTAGGCATTGGCGCAGATCAACCCTTTATCATTTAAAGGGGAAGACACGCATCCCCAATATGCAAAATCTTGTATTTTATCAGTATCTTCACCAAACACGACTATCATTATGTGCCCATCCTAAATTGATGAAAAAAACGTTGGTAGGAAAAGTTAGATGAGAGAAGTGTTATTTCTAAGAGGGTATCTATGAAAAAACTAAACGAAACGGGGGGGGGACTGGCGAACACTATTTGAAGTTGACAGCACGCCATTAGCTTTGACTCGGCCAATAGAGTAGTTTGTAAAGAGCCTGAAGACGGATGATGTGCTTCTTTGGGGTGCTTTTCAATGACAGACATTGTTACAAAATATTTCTATCTACGGAATCAAATGCTGCCTTAAGGTCAAGAAATATAACCGTCGTCAGGCATCCGTACATATATCCATATTCTAAAACCTGATGAAGAGTAAATATTTTGTCTACATATCCACGTCCAGGTTCGAGACCAACCAGGTTTTCGTAGGTTTGCTTTTATGGAACTTAGTTAAACATCGGATGATTATTACAATACATTGGTCAAACTGATTCCCCTGTGATCATCAAAGGATAATTTTTGTTGTTACAAACTGGGACCATCAGGGATCGACACCAGCTAGATGACATTATGTCTAGCCTCCGAAATTCAGATATCTCAATCAACCTAACTGCCAAAACTGGACCACCATTCTAAATGACCTCCAGGTTAATCTTTTAGAGCCCGCTGTTCTCCCTCGCTTTATATTAGGTGTAGCGTTTTCAACCTAGAACAAAACAGCATACATCAGTTCATGGTGAGGGCGAACATAGTAATAATTTCACAAAATTGAAGGAAATATATTATGATAAAATGCATACTCAATATAATGTCAGACCAACAAAATTCGAGCACTTAATAAACATGCATGCCGATATGATACCAAAGGGCAAAGCCAATTACAAATACCAACTAGGGTTTAGCACGCATTTATACGCAAGTAATTATACGAAACAATACAACAGAAGTGTTTGGTTTTTGACTTACAGGTACAGTGGATGATACAAGAGTACCCCTAAGAGGAACAACCCGATTCGTACGGAACAAATCTGCAATAATATGTTCAGCTTCTTCAGTTTTGCCGGCACCAACAAGATATCTTGGAGACTCAGGCAGAAACTAATATTTGAAAATATTACGAAGGAGAATTTTAAAGTAATTTAGCGAATGGGGTAACCTGAGGTAATGATTCAACACAATAAAAGTTTACAAGCACATATAACTACAGAGCACTGATATTTAGAAAATCAGGTTACTTCAAGGTGGGAATAAAAAATATAATCAACCATGACAGTGTTAATTAGATTTATAATATATTTTTTGCAAACGATAATTTATTAACCATCAATCAATAATACCACTGAAGTGTATGATATAAATTTACGAAATACAGTACCAAACTGTAAATTATTAGAGAGATTAGTTAACTTGTGTATAGATCATTCAAGGTTTTACAGGGATGAAAAAATCAGTTAGAGAATTAATGGAAAAGTATCCTATATTGGTTTGGGTGATGCCACTAGTTAGCAAATGAAATTAGACTTTTTTAACTGTCATTATGTTATCACTAACCAAATGAATTTGGAAAGAATTATTTTAATTTTACATGATTTCTTTATTTTTTTATGGAAGTTACCTACTGTTTAGTAGTAATGACCGTTTCGCAGTTTTGTGAAGATGTTTGCCTTGTATAATACAATTTCCGATAAGGACCTGAATGAATTTACGAATAATTAATTAGTTCTCGACAAGTTACTATAAGAATGATTAGATTCTGAAAGTCGTTAAGGCTTACTAATTAAGATGAAAATATGCATTTACTATCTGTCAGCTCCCAGTGATCTTTCACAATGAATATTGTACCCAATTCTAAACGAATTTCTAGTAAATCAAGGATTTGAACATCTATGCTGTAATATTAAAGAAATTCGTCATATAAGATTATTTATCTATCACAACCTGTACTAAAAAAATGAATGCTAACTGGTTACTACACATTTTGTTAGAGATTTGTAGGACTAAACTGGTCAATCTCTGTTAGTTTTCGACTAACTGACTAGATACTTTAATAATGTTCGTACTCATATCTTGTTTATGACTCAGCAGTTAGTGAAAATCAGGACATATTTCGAAACTAATATCCATCGCTTCACTCACTAGGGTATTATTCTCAAGTTTAGTGAACCACCAGAGCTGCTGTTCATTCAACAGGTAAGTTTTCATTAGAGTTTGAAATTTCGCACTATTGACTGATTCCTAAGACATTAACAGAGACTGACCCATTCTATTCCAAAGATAAACAGCAGGAAACTCAAAGTTTCAACAAAAGAATCACAATCTAGATAACTTCAAGAAGAAATAACCAGTCACATGATTACTCACAATACGAGTCTAATGAATGCTGATCAATTTAGTAAACTCTGAAATAAATATATCTCAAATTTACATAAAATGGTATCTTACCCTCAATAAAAATAAGAAAATCAATAGAGGTAAGGCTGAAACAAACACCAGCCATCGCCAGCCAAATCTTGGCAGAATAAGGTATGCCAAACCAACTTCAAATGTGCTTCCAAAAGCCCAGAATATCTAGACGTTAATATGTCAAGAAAAGACCATAATACATAAGGAATTTAGCGAGGCAAAATATAACCTCTCAGTGGAATTAATTGAATAAATGAAAGGCAAAACTATTTCATGATAATTTTCATAGTAATATAACTGGTCAAAGTGGGAAGGAAAACGATATATGATTACTTAGTTAATAGTTTAAGTAAACATATTAAGGAAGCTCGAAAATAGTTAGTTAGCTTCAGTAACCATAAACACAATAAAAGAGTAATATACAAACCTTCAAAGGCAATCGGCTAATTACTGATAAGTACTAACAAAATAAGAGAATACTCTGAATGACTTGTTAGTGTAATTACGACAGCTAGATAATGATTGGCAGATGAAAAGAGAGCAAAGCAGATAAACTTAAATTAAAAAGAAAAAACTGTAGTATATCTAATTAACGGAAATATAGTGGGGAAAAACATACCATCTTTCGCATTTATTCTACGAATGATTTCAAGTTATTGTCTCAGTCAGTCAGTCAGTAACAACGTAGAACTTCGTACGTACGTACATCAGTTCCAGTTGCCATACCACATTAGCACAGAGATACAGTTGTCGATTCAAATCCCGTAGTGGTAGATAGAGGTAGTAAGAGTATAAGCAGTAATCGGAAAGATTATGGTTTGAAGATGTTATTCAAGTAGTATAATCCAGTGAAATAAATTTGGAAAGAGGAAAAAAGGGACATGAAGAATTCAGAAGATTAGAATTTGGGAGAACACAAAGAGTGGATGCACTTGCGCCATTGCAAACGATTTTGAGCCATATCATTCAGGGTCTCTAACCATCGGTTGCTATCATCTCGCGGTCCCCAACCAGGTGGTCTACAACTACCAACATGACTCAGACCACTTGTCAGTGACTTCATGGACTTGTGCCGTTTTGGTCTGGCCGCCCCTAGCTTTCTTCCAACCTACTCCTATACCACTGAACATCGCACGTCGAGGCAGTCGGTCGTTCGGCATACGTAACACGTGTCCAAGCCATCTCAACTGATGAAGATTCACTACGTTATCAATTGATTTGCCATCCTTACCTAGTACTCGTTTCCTAACAACTGCATTACTTACTCGATGGTCCCACGATATACGAGCAATATTTCGAGGACACCTATGATCAAATACTAGTAACCTACGAATATCCTCTACTCTTACCGGCCATGTTTCACTGCCATAAAGTAGGACGGAACGAACTGCTGCGCAGTAAACCCGTCCTTTGGTTGATAGACGGATATCTTGCCTACGCCATAAATGACGCAAGTTGGTAAAAGCTAGTCGAGCCTTCTGTATCCGTGCTGAGATTTCGTCACACACCAGACCACAAGGGCTGATGAGACTTCCAAGATAAGTGAAGCGATCGACACGCTCAATTACATCACTCCCTATCATTAGTTCGGGTGTCAATGCAACCCAATCCTGAAGCAACATTTTGCATTTCGAGGAGTAGAATCGTATGCCGAACATGCTTGCATTGTTGCTTAGAGTGGTCAGAAGACTCTGCATTTTGTCAGCATCTTCACCAAATAGAACTATGTCATCGGCATATTCCAAGTCAACAAGTGAATCATTGTCTAACAAGAAACTAAACTCAGAAGGAAGCTGATAATACATACAACCTGATAATGCTAAACACTTGCAGGAGTATAACACGGTGTTTTTTTTATAAATGTAGACCAGTAACAAAACATTTTTGTATCTCATTTTAAATATAGGATTGATGGTAAGGAAAATTGTTAGAAGTTAACTGGAGATAAACATTTAAGTAATATGTTATGTTACTAAGCAAGACAAAGATATTATGTGAGAAATGAATAAAAAATTGTTTTATAGAGACATTATGACCGCATTTGACGAACTTATTAACCATTAGTTTATACTAACAGAATGACATCCATAAGTCCAAATGTTATCCCACAGTAAAACCAATCGAGATTCTAAAAGGTTGGTCAAAATTAATTGAAATAAACTATTTGTTTCTTTTTATCTTCCTACTTCATAGAGAAACGTCACGACAAATAAATGGAATAACAACTTACATTGAAAGCTAACAGAACTTTGGCCCGATGCTTAACGGTCAGAAATTCGGAGAATAACGTAAAGCTAAAAATCAGATGAACATACATAGGAAATTAACAAACTGACATAGGAGTGACATTATAATGAAAAACCACGGAAAGTCCACGGTCACTCAGAATAAATTAGACGAATTGTGGTATACGCTTATTTATGACTAAGTGGTTGGCTTACGATGATCAATTCAGAATACCGGACAATCCAAACTCGTTATAATCTGTCTGACAAGTACAAAAGATGTTCAAATTCTAGAATAAATATTGACTACGTTGAGACTGAGGGGAACTCCACGCAAATTCGTGCAGAGACTTGTTAAAAGTTTTTACTGGTACCCAGGATTAGTCAGCTAATGTCAACGCTCTGCAACTTTATATGAAGATTTAGTTACAATAGTCAGAATGAAAGAATAGTACGTCGTTATTACTCACGAAATCAACCCACCCAAATAATATGATTCATTTAAGAATTCCAAATTCGTGTACTCGATTTTGAACCACACCGTGAATAAGAGGGTTATTGATACTAAATAGATGTACAAAACAAAGCGATGGAGACGGGACTTAAAGCCGTATTTCAATGAAATAGATTCAAGTGTCCAAACTATTACGTCAATGCTCTTGACCACAACAGTGGCAATATGAATACCGGTGTGATCGATGGCCCCCGAATGCCTTGGTATGGCCGAGAGTGGGATGGGCCCGCTCTCGCTCTCGAAATGCTCTCACACGACCACGCGCATACAGCCTCTACCAGGGAAGTCCTACTCACTGCCTTCTCGTGGCGGGATGTTGTTTACGAAAATGAGAGGATGAAAGCGAATGTCTGGAGCTCTAACCGGATCCCAAACACACGGTGCACATGGGTTCCAGTATCCTGAGGGAACAAATGGCGTATGAACCAAACGTCGGTCACCGGCTACCATGGGACCGCATCTCCTCACGATGTCCAACTGCATTGTTGGCCAGGCCTTTAGGTAGAGGGCTTGGGATGTGTCCCCCTAAGAAAACCACCTGCTTTGGTCTGGGCACCCGGGCAGTATCACAGCCCACACACAAATGATGAACTCTCTATACTTTTGGAAACTACTTTTCTTGCTTCGACTAACAATCAAATGATCCAGATTATTATTATTATTATTTACTACGTCATTATTCACCCTCTTTTATTCCTACTCTGTCTATACTTATTTTTACGGCTTATACAGCAGCTCGTCTATGGTGGAAATTCGATTCTATCTAAACGTTCTCGAGTCACTGTCCGGTTGAAAATTGTATGTTACCACCGAATATGAGTACTGAAGCAGTTTTTCTGAAACCACGTGCACCATTCAAACTGGCTGCCTTCAACGTTCGCACACTTATGCAGGTCGGACAACAGATAGGGCTGGCTATGTCTTTGGAAAGTCTTAATATCGATGTTTGTTGTCTATCCGAGACCCGTATTCAAGACTCTGGCGAAGTACTACAAATTCGATCTCCATCTGTCGCTTCGAAAAGCTTGTTTTACGTGCGCTTATCCGGGGACCCTGTGGCATCTTCGTCTGGTCTTGCTGGCGTTGGTGTCGCACTAAGCGCTAGAGCTGAGGCAGCACTAGTCGATTGGATCCCCATTAACAGTCGGTTATGTGCTGTTAGATTAGAAAGTTCCATCAAAGTGAGAAGAAATCGGCGTGAGAAACGATGTCTTTTCGTCATCTCCGCCTATGCCCCGACAGATTGCAGCCCGGATGCAATCAAGGATGAGTTTTACCACCAGTTATCTGTTCTTCTCCAGAAAGTGCGTTCGACAGATATTGTAGTACTAGCCGGAGACTTGAATGCTCAGGTCGGGCGTCTAGGCACAGAAGAGAGTCGTTTAGGTGGCCGATGGGGACTTGTTGGTCGCAGGTCAGATAACGGGGACCGTCTACTGCAACTTTGCACAGACCACAACCTGTTTCTGGCTAGCACTAACTTTCGGCACAGTCATCGCCGATGTGCCACCTGGCGTCCTCCCTCTGCATCTCAAGCCTGGACTCAGATTGATCACATCGCGATCAGCTACCGCTGGCGTGGTTGTGTACAAGACTGCCGCTCCTTTTGGAGTACCTATCTGGACTCTGACCATGCCTTGGTCTGCGCCAATCTTACCTTACTTTTCAGTGGACAACGAAGTGACCGCCATCAACGGATTGATGTTAGCAAGCTGGTTGCAACTTCTGTTGCAAGTAAGTATCGAACCGAGCTAGCCTCTAGGCTAGCTACCACTCCACCGAAAAGTATAGATGAGCATTGGTTGCAATTGCATGACGCCATGAAAATGGCGGGAACAGTCAGTTGTGGGTTTGCGAAACGTCCCGCTTTAAGCACTGGGTTTCTTCTGGTTCCTTACAACTCATTGAAGCCCGTCGGTCTACTCCGGGTGACCGTGAGTTTGACCATAAACGAAGGATGTTACGTAAGGAAATTGGGCAAAGCTTGCGTAAGGACCGAGAAGCCTGGTGGTCGAGCGTGCTAATGAGCTGGAAGCAGCAGCTGCATCTGGTAACTACCGGAAGCTCTTCCAACTCATCCGAGCCACTGGCAGCAAGAAGTCTGGTGTGAGTGAAACAATCTGCGAGGATGATGGGATGCCAATCACTAACATCCATCGACGTCTTGGACGATGGGCAGAATTTTTCGAAGGGCAGTTCAACTGGCCTGCTGCTCCGGCAACATCGGTCAGACTGTCCTGCCCTCCATGGCCGGTGACGACTGATCCACCAAATGAGGAGGAAGTCCGCAAGGAACTCCAACTCTTGAAGCGTTACAAATCACCTGGCCCAGATGACTTACCTCCGGCTCTTTTTAAAGATGGTGGTGACTTTTTGACTAAGGAATTGACGACGTTGTTTACAAAGGTTTGGGAACTAGAGAGTGTACCAACGTCATGGAATGAGTCGATAGTTGTCCCTATCTTTAAAAAGGGTTCACGTCGTTCCTGTAACAACTATCGGGGGATAAGTCTACTTCCGATTGCGTCCAAGCTATTGGCTTCCGTCATACTTCGTAGGTTGTTCAAAACCCGAGAAAGATTGACTCGCGAGGAGCAGGCTGGGTTTCGTTCTGGTCGAGGATGTATTGATCATATCTTCACCCTCCGCCAAATGTTAGAACACCGCCATACTTATCAAAGGCCAACAATCGTAGTGTTTCTTGACATCAGGGCTGCCTTCGATTCGTTGGACAGGACTGTTCTCTGGGATTGTCTATTGAAGAAGGGTGTGCCTGAGAAGTTTATTAACATCCTAAAAGCCCTATATAAAACACCTCAGGCAGAGTGAGGGCATACAACCACCTCTCTCCATTGTTCCATTCGAGCAGTGGGGTTAGGCAGGGTTGCCCAATCTCACCATTCCTCTTCAACTTTGCCATCGATGACATTCTGGAAACAGCTCTGATGAATGTAAGTAATGGTGGTGTGGATCTGTTGCCTGGAGAAAGACTTCTCGACCTTGAGTATGCGGACGATATTGTCTTACTGTGCGATAATGCCCAAGGCATGCAATCCGCACTTAATCAGTTGGCAATCAGTGTCCGTAGGTATGGTATGTGCTTTGCACCTTCGAAGTGCAAAGTACTTCTACAAGACTGGCAGGATTCTAATCCTGTACTCACCCTGGATGGTGAGCAGATAGAAGTAGTTGAGAAGTTCGTGTATCTAGGTAGCTGCATAAGTGCTGGTGGTGGCCTGACTGATGAGACCAATGCACGTATAGTGAAAGCCAGTTTGTGTATTTGGGTGACTGCATAAGTGCTGGTAGTGGCGTGAGTGATGAGATCAATGCCAATCTGGGCCATCTTTGGCGCCTTCGTGATGTTAGTCTGGCTGTAAAAGGTCGGATCTACAACGCGTCGGTGAGAGCAGTTCTGTTCTATGCTTGTGAAGCCTGGCCTCTCCAAGTTGAGGACGTTAGACGACTCTCTGTGTTCGATCATCGTTGTCTCCGAAGGATTGCTGACATGCAGTGGCAACACCATCTTAGTACTGCAGGGGTCCGGCATCGTCTGTTCTGGCACAGCGACGATAATTCAATTGGTGACACTATCTTGAAACATTGACTTCGGTAGCTTGAACATATCTTACGCATGTCATCTCAGAGAGTTCCACGTCGTGCACTATTTGACGACGCTTGGACTGGTTGGAAAAAGCGGAGAGGTGGTCAGTATATGACATGGTGTCGAGATATGAAAGAAAGCTGCAAAGGGCTGGCTTCTGCTGGTCCTTCGCGACTCCCTGGTTGGGGTCCTAGAGGTGGTGCAACACAGTGGCTAGAGACGTTATCAGGCATGGCTCAGAATAGAAGCCAGTGGGATCCTGCTGTAACCTTCTTTTACTTTCTTCATTTAAAAAATGGTTGTTTCTTCCTTAACTGAAAGATTTCTTCTGATTGTACCTTCCCGTTTCCCCCATTATTACACTACCTTACACTAATCTGTTCGTCATTGTTCTTTTTTTCTCTTCGAGTTCTCATTGTTTTGTGTGGCGCATTTATATTTGGTGCCCCCTTGTACCGATATTTGTGTTCAGATAAATAAATAAATAAATAAATAAATAATAATAATAATAATAATAATAATAGATGTGTTCATTCGACTCTAATCACCACGCCTATTGTACACAACCACAATCGGTCTAAAGCGTTGGCATACCATTGATCACAATAAAGAAACTTCATTGAAAGTTATTAATAATAAATAACCATAATACTTATACAAACTATCTTGAATGCGGGTAGCAGTTACAAGTGTCATGGGATACTTATTTTATTTCAGCAGAGCGGTCGATAAAACGTGTCTAGAAACCCTGATAAGATTATCATAACGTTGACGTTATCAATAAGAGTAGTGATAAAAATGTTATAACTCTAGAAAATTGATATGTTTAACACAAAACAGGTAAACTGAAATGGTGTGGAAAGAAAATTTTTCATTTGGTGGATAAGATAATTGGTATTAAGAACAAAGAATGACTTATCATAAATAAAGTTCTTCGTAGATAAGTGACATATATACCAGTAAGAACTAAGTCTAATTTAACTAAATTAATCCAAAACATACGTTGAGTAAATTAATGTCATTTTGACTAACCACATTTTACTTCAAGTTAGTGAACAGGAATTAGTAAGCCTAATTAATGTTCCATATGCGAAATACATAAACTTACAAGATATTTTTGGTTGCTTTAGCAAAGTATCACAGTTAATGACCTTACTGTTAAGCTATTCACACTACAATTAGGATTAATATAAGAATAAGTAAATCATGTACATGCTGAATTCATTTAAGTTGAACTTCATCCGGGTATTCGATCGGTTAAAATTTCATTTCCCTAAATCAAATATTTTTCAAAAACATTAAGTCATTTTATATTTTGCAAAGTACTGATATTCATCTGGTAAATATGACCTGTATAATAAAGTTATTACTGGATAATAATCTCCTACTCTAGTGTCAGTTAAAAACCACGTTGATACATTATCAAGTGTAGGTCAAAAAGCTACTGAATTTTCTACGAATTCGAAAGGCAGTTTAAACATTTGTAATTCAAATCACCTTAGTGTTTTGTGTTAATTCATGTATTTTTTAACTATTAGAGTGTAGAGAGTATACACGTTAAGTAAAATTGAACATTCGTTAAACACAAGAAAATGATCGTGTAACCATCGGTAATTGGAAATTTACGAAATTCATTTAAGAAAACTAACCTGCTATTTCCACCACCAATAGCGAATCCGACCAGAAGTCGTAATATTATGACCCAAATATAAGTGGGGGCACAACTTGTGATGATGCCGAAGTAAGTTATCATTGATAAAACAATCAATAAAGTCTGTTAAAGAAAATAAAGTTCTTAGTTATATAAATTATTATGACCGATACTAGTTGTGCAAATCGAAGAAGTAGAGTAACACTGAACACAAGAGTGGAAGCGATGCAAAGAAACACCAACCAAACTCTTACTAAGCCCCCATAGACTTTTCGACTAGCACTCAATTAGTGAGAATACAATAGAAAGTAAAATGATTATTCTACGTTCCAGCTGCACAGAAAAATGCGTGGGTATTCACAGGATTCTTTGATATACTTGGTGATCAGCCGTTAAGAATGGAAGTTTCGTGGACCATGAATCAACGGTACGGGTGTGATTTATAAAAAAAATAATGTTTTGACTGATTTATGTCAAATTTCTAGAGAATAATGCATTATTCAACATAGGTAGAATCAACAGATGAACGGTGATGCTGTAAAATTTACATGAAGGAGAATGATTTTGAATAGGGAACGATGGCCCTTAAGCTAGCTCTTTTTAAATATAAGACGAGATATATCGAACAACAGTTCAAAGTTAGGAAGTTCCATAGTACTACATAGTAGTGCTGCTATTTTGCTACACACTATGTGCCCTTGAACACAAAACTGAAAAATTTGACTACCAGAGACTAGTTTCCCGTGGTTTTAGCATTAATTTAAACAACAAACCCAATTTTTGAACAAATAACTTCCCAAAAACTACCGACTTTAGGATACTTTCTTAATAAAAGTATAATATCAAGCATTAAAGCGTACGAATGGAGAATACTAATAACGAATGAAAACAACAGGTTCATATAATACTAAGACTAATGTCAGTCATTCATATAATTAAATATTATTTTTATGTCTGAAATAAGACAGGTACACTGAATTTTTAAATTGATACACACTGAGTGTCGATACATAAACACAAATAATACTTATAATATTCGATTGATAGGTTGCTTTTCTAAATATGTACTGACAAAAATCACAAAACTTCAACAAGAGGATGGAAACAAATCCTAAGCCTGAAGATTCCCACAACTAATAAACTGAGTTTCCGTCAAAATAATAATCGCAATAATAACAATAAATATAATAAACAATAATAATAATAATAATAGATTTGTGAAAAATTTGATAGCAGATTCAACTATCTGAATATTAAGTTGTGAATTTACATAATTTCTATATCCTGAAAGCTTACCGGCCAACGACCAAATCTGTCTGCGATAAAACCCCATAGAGGAGCTCCAAATAAAAACCCGGCAAAAACAACCTACAACATATCAAAGACCAAAGCAATTAAACTTCAACGAAATCACGGTCAATGGTTTATTACACCCAACTGTCCCAGTTTCTTTTATTATATGGAAGGTAGTCTAATCATTGAACACAAAAATATACAAAACTTAGATCTATAAAAGTACCTGGCATTCTTCAGAAACTTAGCACATTAAAAATCCGTAATTTTGGTTAACATTTACGGGCTGTGATTCTAACCGTACGAATATGACATACATGGGCAACTAGAAATCAACATAAAGGTTTGCCAGGCTAATTGTAGATATAATGTTGTTACAGTAATCTGATGAGAGATAAGTGGGACCAGCTGAGACAAATTTAACCGAAAAAGAGATTAGTTATAGAAAAATAAGACCACCTAAAGAGTAACACTGGATATCCGAATTAAATTGTATCAAATAATAAAAAACGACAACTGGCTCGTAACCTCACAACGGATCCAGTTAATAAATGATATTACTGTCTGAACCACCTTAAAAGGATTAGGATAAACAATTATAAAGCAAGCTACAGCGCACTGCCTTTTGTGGGAAGTTTTTGACGTGTTAGCTCCGTTCTTCAAAGGGCCTTACCACCGAAGACGGGAATCCGTGAGGTAAGGTGAGGTGTGACATTTTTAGGGTTGACCTTTTCTAGCCCCTCCCTTCCTTGTGAGAAGGCGGCATCGCTGCAGATGCTGGTTGTCAGAGGGAAACACCTTACTGCTGTCACACCCTTCTACAGTCAGCAGTGCGAATTCGTCTTCAGACCTTGAGTTGCTGCTTTTAGTCTTACCGTTCTCCAATCGACCTGCCTGGTGTGGTAGAATCTACAGGAACATATGTTTCCGCCAATATAGCTCGGTTGGGTCAACACGATAGGCCAGCCCGACCACCACGTCAAGGTAGCAGCTACGATAGGGGATCAACTCAACAACTTGCAGATTGAAGATCAAGTCAAATTTCTCATCTCGTGTCTGAATAGTGAATTTATTTTAACTCCATTTATAATTTTACTGTCGAAGCTCAAGAACTAGAGAGACATTCTAGTTGATAATGTTCACAGACTTAACGGTGAATACCCTATCCTGTGGTCACATAAAATCCAGGGGTTGAAGCTAATCTGCCTCTAATATGCAAATTCACTGTTATTTCAATATGATTGACTGTGCATAGCTGTTTTTTAATTTCTCCACGTAAGGAAAGGAAACAAAATCCGCTACTGATTATTTTTCTTGGGTGTTTGAATGGATTACTCGTGGGAAAATTTTGAATTCACACTCAGTCAAGTGCACTTTGTTTGCATCAAAATCCTTCTTATCTGTTGTAAATACATTTAAATTGATTTTAGGTGTCTTAAAACTACGAATTCAGTTTCTACTTGAATAGGTTAGCAATCAGATGTCATTCACTGTTTTAATCTTGGTAAATAAATCGCTAGCAAACAGCACTAGAGAAGTGAATACTGATATGTGCGGATGTGTATTACTCATAAATAAACTGTATAAACATATATAAACTTAATGATCGACACCAATTTAAGTACGATTCATCTGTTCACTATTATTAAGTTGAAGTTATCTGAAAAATAATCGCAAAAATATCCAGACTCTTGATATATCAACTGTCAGAACGATTTCCATTTTAACACATAAAAAATTCCTTACTCTCTCGCTGGTTGTAAATAACAAGTTTTGCATACTCACTTTGATTATAAGAAGGATTACCAGAAGTTTTTAATCAAAAGAACTAAGGCCGCTTATTGACCTGATGTAAGATACTGCTTTTGACTCACACATCCATCATTGCTAAAGTCTATTTTCTAGTAATGAGTAAATGGAATGTACAGTAAAAAAGGCTGTTTAACCATTGTTTTCCTATTAGCTATATTATCACTTAATGGTACGACTGTTGAGGAATTCGCTGTTAGGCAAACTGTTTTCTTGGAAGGAAGTTGCTACGAGCAAGAACTTACACGAATCTTACAATTTGAAAACACTCGCTTCCGTCAGTAGGAATAAGACATCCCGGCATTTTTATTTTTTATCCCATTGATTCAAAATCAGTAAATGTTAGTTTTTAGCTAAAATAAAAACAGATGTTCAGCAATACTGAAGAAGTGATCATAAGACAAAACCGTAGTTGGTTTGGTTTCCTCTTGAAGTCCACCAAGGTACAGAGGACTTTAAAAAGCGAATAAGCTTGTAACTTTCCTGAAATTCTTAAAGGGGTAACTCGTACTTACTGTGGTTATGGCAGCGACTTGTCCTGACGACAGAAGCCAATAACATCGTAATGCTGGACCAAGTACTGAAAGCAGTAGCATTTCCATAGCATCTGCAGCCTACAGGTAGAAGTTTGATACGTTTAATAAGGTTTGTTATCTTAATTAGCAGAATGAACAATAAAGTTAAGTAAACCATAAACCCTAATTATTCATTGGTGTCAAGCTATTTAGCATTTAGGGAGGAGGGGCACTGTACCTAATTTGTTCTAGCAAAGTGATAACAGTAACTGGAGATTTCAAGGTTAATTTTACAGATATTTTTATCGGTCCAAAATGTTGAGGCGCCATGATAAATTTTTTTTTGAACTTATGGCAAAATGCTACCATGATGGTACATAATGTGATTTTCTCAATACAATACAAAAATGAAAAGGTTTATGCAACTAATCAGAAACGGGTAAACAGAAATTAACAGAATCTTGTACAATTGTGACCTACAGGTTACCAAAACACAAAGAGTCTAAAAAGGTGTTTATACAACTTAGTGGTTTAAGGGCTCGACTCGTTCGTAGTTTGAATGCGCATACATTTGAGACCACGAAAAACAAAGAACCGAGTTTGCGTTTTCTTAATTTTTGAACTTTTCTGGAACTCCCGCTGATGTTGGACCGACCAACCTCAAGTTTGATGACAAAAGGTATGCTTTCCATGTACAACTTTTACCTGTCTTTGTTTCTTTGGCAACTTATTAACTATTCTGATTAAGATCTAAAACTGTCTTCAACGATATACAAAAACAGGGTATGCTATGGTTGAAAATTCACGTTAAACGGTTCGTTATGAATGATAAGATCGTTTTTACTTGAAATCCGATATTCCTTATTTTGATTTCTTAAGTGCTGTATTTATAAGCATGGAAGTATATTTCAAACTGAAACGAAAAATACATTTTCCTGGAAATTTCTTTCTTTAGAAAGGTAATATCAGAGATTTATGTCACAATTATTTTCTTATACACCGAAATAACTATGCGGGGTAGATACCATGAAGTTTAATGCTAGACACAACGAAGACGCTTACCGATATTGCTCCACATAAAATGAAAAGCTTCAACTGAAACCTTCCAAAACCAGCTGCCTCCACAGCATCTTCAACTGTATATGTAGGGTTTGGTTTCTTTTCTGCATCTAACACATTTTCACTGGAATCAGATTTATTCAGATCTTCTGAATCTAGTTGCGTAGATCCAACTACTTCACTTGGATTCAGTTTGTTTTCAGATTTATCAGGAAAGAGGGACTGATATACAGGAGGTGAAGAGGGATAATCCTAAGAGGGTTTATATAATTACAACTCCAGCAACAAACCATCATCTATTAACTTGAATTACGATAAAAGTTGTGGGTTTTTTGTTTGGGAGTTAGGTCCACTGCTTGATCATATTTACAATTTCAGAAGTATATCTGAAGCAACAAAAATAAAGTACTCATTTTTAAAACATTATCGAGGTGGAAGTTCCGTCAAGATTAATAGTAATTTCAACTACGTGAAAACCACCACTATAAAAAACATAAATTCAATAAACATAGGTAAACATTGAGTCCAGAAATTGTGAGTACTATGGAACACAGGACAGTAGATAGATAAGACTGTATTAATGAATGATATTAACTCGTCTTGATGTTCAAGATAAGAGGTTGGTATCAATTGAGTCATCAATATACATATCCTTCGGAAAACATTTAATGCTCGGATTATTGTTAAGTCACAGTATGCCGGAAAAATGTTTAGTACTAGCTATTTCAGATTTTCCGATGGCCGAGCCGACCAACCCATGAAAAAATCCAACCACAACCACTGTCTTGTTATTGTTGTGTTGCAAGGTGACATGCAGAACAGCACTGCACAATTAATCCTAATGTGTGTACTCAAGTCTAGAACATTTTATGCTGAGATAACGTGGGGGCACTGGTGACGTCACGTTTAGATCATACATCGCTGTTTCTGCAACGCATTGACAAGGTTATATGTAATCAATTTCTTAGTATACGAGATATGACACTCTTATGGTAAAAAACTACCATAAGATGGAGTCGGAAGCATCTTTCCCTTAGCAAACTGCCGATTATCATGAATAAGAAACTCTAGGAAACAAGAAGATTTGAAGTACGTTATACTTTTAGCCTACTAATAGGGAAAGAACTGAACGACTCGTCTCTTCCACCTCATAAGGAGATTTATGATGTCAGTACGAAAAAGAGCCAACAATTTGGTTGGACGGCCTTACCTTTTCCCGCCTTTATGCTATGCTCCAATGTGATTTGATAGTGCTTACAAATGGTTCAAAATGATTGTAGACGGAATAGAAGAAGCTTTTGCTTAACAGGCTTCCGTGTCTAGTAGCAGTGGATCACGAATACCTTCCAATTTCTAATTAAAAATCCAATATATTTGAAACGAGCTAGTAAATTGAAGTCGACTTATCATAACTAACTAGCGTTTTAAAACTGTTCCAAACGTCGTGAATCGTCCATTTAGGTTATTCTAGACAAGCTATTACCCTATTCTTAGACAGAAGTTAATTTTCTTTCGAGATGGTTAGTGAAGATTTCACATGGCAATGAGTTTAGTAGGTACTGTATCACACAAGCCAAGAAATACTTTGGTTGATCGTATCAAATCCTGAAAGCAGAAAATAAATGATTAATAAAGATGGAAGACGGACCAGAGAAATGATTTACAGATGCCACAGATATTCATGATATATAGGAGAGTTTGTCTGTAACACAAATATAATTAAAGTATACCAACCCAGTCAAATCATAAATCGAAGATGAATTGGTTTGTACGCATATCAAGAATGTTTTAAACGTGTTGAGAAATGTGCAGCGGTAAATCAATCCCAAAAGTTAATACTCCTGTAAGTTTTCACAGGAAATCAGTAGTTGAAGGCGACCATTCACGCACCCATACCAGATGACGAGTAGATATGCCGCGCTACACGTCCCTTCCAACTGTTAGTCAGCCTAGACCAAACACTTTTCAACATATCGATAGCCTTCCAAATACATCTTAGAACCCTAACATTCCTTACTTTTGAGTTGCCTGAGTTGGTATACTTCGAATATAAACGTGTTATGTGTAAAGACGTTGTCAAACTCCAAATGTCTGTGGCGTTCTTAGTGGTGAACCTGATGTGATCAAATACACCAAACAATGAACTGTGAGTCTGTTCCTTGGTGGAACACTGAATGTCGTTTCTTAAAATTTATTTTTACATATGGTGATATTCAGCTGGTATTGTTCATTTGAGTCTTCCCATTGATGAGCGGTACTGAGTTCGAGCCTCGGAGTAGACGTCAGCTCGGAGATGCAGGTACATCCAGCTGACGGGCCCTAAGTAAGACGAAACGCAAATCCTGGAGTTCACTGCCAGCCACCATCCAACTTTGCTTATAATGTAGTGATATTGTTTTAATATTTTCGGATAGTTTTCCCGTCCATTTGTATATTTTATCTTCAGTATGACGGGACTGACATTTAAGCTGACTTCCACAAGAATAGCACGAGAGACCCAAGTGCGCAATTCCTCGCAGTACTGAAGGCACTGCCTCGAGATTTCAAAAGGCACGTCACACTCGGTATGTCTGCTAGTAATTTTTCGTAAGCTTACGACACTTTAAAGAAGGATGTTCACAAATTTGAAGGCCTGATCAACCGACAAAGGTCAGACCAACTGTTCCACAACAGGGCTCAGAAACGGAAATATTTCCGCAAACGCGAATGGTCGCCAGCCAAAGAACCTTTGACGATAGCCTGTTTGGACATTTCTTCTTCTCTTAGCTTCCCCAACAGGTGCAGGTGGTTCTCGTTTCATTTCAAAGTAACGCCGTATACGAACTGGCTGCATCTGCCGATTGGATTCTGGAGAATACCAGAACTTCCAGAGCCGGGGTTTATTCTATCGAATAAAATTTCCAACACTAAGAGGTGTCACAGACCTCTGCCATACTCTCAATCGTCACCTTAATATTCGTCCCGGTCGTAGACGCTCAAAAAAGCTCGTCACGAAATAAATCTGTCTCATGACCACGAGAGACATGTAATCCTAATTATCGGTGGTACAACAAGTGTGGTAGTTCCTCTAGAAATTATTGGAAACTCTTCAGTTTTTCCGTCTCCGAACAATCCGACACTAAAAACCTCTCTTTACTTCCTAGTCGGTACGTGTTAGTGGTATCCGTAGCCGGCGGACTCAGCTGTTTGTTGTGTAGCCCAGGTATAATGACGACAGTTAACTGTTTCGTGGACACTGGAGCAGAATCAAGCGTTCTCTCCGCAAATTCTAACGACCATATGCTTAAACGGGTCTTCAACTTACAGGCGACACTTGATAAACCGATTACCACACAAGGTAAGCGATTTCTGTATCTTAACGTATGTTTACGCAAACCCATTCACTGAATCTTCTTTGTTGCAGATTTTTCTAAACCAATCATTGGTATAGATCTGCTACAACACTACAATATGCTGATCGACACGCGCAAACATTGCTTTATAAGTGGCGACACTAAGGTAACCATTTTTGTCCCTTCCTTTTCCGGTTGTTAATCATCCCCAATAACTGTTGGGCACATAATCGATTCATCATATCAACAGATACTCGATAGATACCCTGATCTGTACTAAACTTGAATAAAATCAACATGTGTAATCAACAGTGTTACACATCATATCACGTCTACAGGATCAACTGTATTCAAGAAGGTGGGACGACTAACTCGTGAAAAGATGAGATTGGACAAAAACGGATTCGACAGTATGATAGACTTAGGAATCATTCGGCCACCGAACAATTCACTGGTACTGCCTTCAGTTAGTCAGTTAGAACGTAGGGCCTCATTTGCTTAGCAAGACGAAGGTCGGATTCACAAGAGTAGTTAACTTCAGATATACAACACACTTCTGGGGCAAACAATGTAATGGAGGAAGCCTTGTTTCGTATAACGTTCCTAAACACTTTCCGAGGAATCAGCCTTCCTAAATTTGTACATTTTCAAACAGAAGACACTGATATCCAGCACAATTTATCTTCGATAACCCTGAAACTACGTACCAAGCAGATGGAAACGGGTAAGGAAAACTTACTGTGTGATATGTCTGTAGTTTGAGATCATCCAATCGTGTCGAAATATTGTCGACGCAACGTCTTCAATACGTGTCACAAGCCTTCTCGTCCAGGTGTTCATGCAACCATCAAGCTCATAGCAGGACGATTTTGTTGGCCTAGTTTTAACAAGGACATGAGGGATTGGACTCGCCGCATGAAATCTAAAATGATTAGACATAAAAAAATGTTTTTTGTGTTCTGTTAGAACTCTCGACACTCGTTTTGACCATGTTTATCTTGACTGGTCAGGACCCTTGCGGATATAAGTGGATACTCCTACCTCATAATGTGTTAGGACAGTACCACATGGTGGCCAGAAGTAGTACCCATCAATGACATTACTACTGAAAGAGTTGCCCGAGCCTTCTCTCAGTAATGATTAGCAAACATCGGCCGCCCTTCAACTAATACTATAGACCTGAACATTTTCTTTATCGGACTGCACTACTAGGAATCAAAAAATTCTGAATGACCGCCTACCAACCACAAGCAAACGGGTTGACAGAATGATTTCACCAACAGCTAAAGCCTCACTCTCAGCTGCAAATGTTTCACAATGGGCTGATGCACTTCCACTCGTTTTGCTTAGTACTCACAACGCAGTGAAAGCTGTCGTTGGGTACTCTGGAGCATAACTCGTCTACGGAACTACACTTTGACTTTGAGAGGCTTTGTGGATTCTTCATTTTCTTTTGTGATTATGGATGTAATCTCTCACACAAGCAGGCTTACAAACTCCATGGGTCCAGTTAAGCCTGTTTCCACTTAAGCTCAATCAACTAACGTTGTCATTCGAGCTGTTTTACGACATAGTACATAGGTTTTTGTACGTCACGATTCGTTACGACGATCCCTGTGAATGACAAACGAAAGACCCTTCAAAGTTCAGCATCGTAAACCTAAACACTAAACCACAGATATGGACGGTACTAACGATAACGTCATCACTGAACATGTTACGGTCTAGTGTATAGATGGAGGCATCAATATCGTTGATTTCCACCCAATACACTCTGACGACACGAGTCTGACAATCAGTTATAAAGAGACTTTGCTGGTATCGGAAAATCGGCACAAGAAATATTTTCTGGAAGAAGAGTCAGTTTTCCAGAACACTTAAACAATTACTGCACGTACGACACTACATAAAATTTTGTTTGATATCTATTTCTCTATTATTTTTGTGTCAGAAAATACGTTGTTTACATTACGCATAATTAGTGATCGTTGGTACTACGACATATATCATAGTACAGTTCCCCAACTCTCATTCGTCTTCAGTGACAAGCACAGTTCAAGAACCCTTTCGTAAATACGAGTTGTTCTGTACTCTTTACAAGCATTTATTTGCCAGAAGACTCCAGACAGCAGTATTGTGAAGGATGACGCAGGTATTCAGTGTTTGACAACGCTTCTACCAGTAACACCTTCTAATATGATTTGTACCCACCGAGAGAAATCAAAAGACAGAGTCGAGGAGATCGGAAGAGTGTATTTGGAGATTACCAATATATCGGAATTCTCTGATCTAATCTGGCTAGCGATTGCGGTAGATGTTGAGCACGGCGTTACCACACGTGATCTGGTGCGGATGCCTGACCGAGCGCCTTCAGCTAGATGAGTCCAGCATCAATGCCGAAAACTTACAGAGCTATTTATTTTGGGGATTTATTTACCGCTGCAATTGGATCCATAAGTTCACACAAATTTTGAAAAAATTGAAATTCAGATAAGTAGATCTCCGAAAGCTTGTATACGGTACAATATCTGATTTTTCTGAAGGATAAATGGCATCATCAACTACAGTATGTCGAGTTAAACAATTTTGCGGAGTTCGGTGTCCAACGTTTTTAAGTGTATAATAAAGCGATTTATTTAAGCTATTGTCAATATTTAGTTCAAATAAAAAATGGGCGATAATATTTATTTTGTCCAGTCAAAACAATCAAATGGTATTCTGATATATCGGAATCATTTACTTCAAGGTTTGTTTGTATTTACCAATGTTTCATTTCGTTTTATGGCAAAATCTTGAATATTTTTTTTCGGTATGTATTAGCGCTGTTATTCTCTGCATCATTATCGTCCACTGAAAAATCTCGCAAATGGGTGAAAATTCACATAAAAAGTCTGACTTAGAAGTTGAAAATGAGAATGTCGTTGTTGACTCAGTACTGATGCATAAAGCTACACCAGAATATCTTCAAGAACTACTAAAAGACAAAAGGCAGCTGCAGAATTTCCCAAACATATTTTTACACTTAGAATTCATTTTGGAGAAAGGTAAATACTTCGTTTATATATTTCATATGTTCAGCTTGAAGTTATCAGATTGCATCTTGTTTTAGGTGGTGCAGAGGTAATGTCAGACCTAACAGACTTTCAGTATAGATTATAAAGCCGTATCTGCATCCTAACATTTATGAATTTATATTTCTTTCCAGTCCCTTTGTATATGAATCGCTCATTCAACTGGCCTTATCTTCACACTTTGTTAATAAAACCACATGTTTCTTTAGCTTGACGTTAATATTTAGTGAATTGTATTAATTTTGTTAAAATATTAAAATTGACATGTGAAATGTGTTGCTCAAATCAACAATAATACATCATTTGTGCTTCTAATTGAGATATAATATGGTCTTTAACGTTACGTTGTGTATGTCTAAACTTTTGATCAGTACCATTTGTTTAAGACTATTGAAATACTAATCTAAAACCAAGCTTGATTTATGATAATGCACTTATTCTAATACATTTTGAGAGTATCACAGTAACATAATTATTATAGTTTTGATTTCCTTCAATCGGTAGCGAGGGTTATCTCACCATAATAAAAGTTTATTTGAGTGTTTATCCGATACCTTCCTACATTATAAATTTTTTGATGTCACTCAAGATTATCGTTGTGTATTTTGCCATTGCAGAAATTACTCGCGTAAGGCAAAAGCTATTTCATTTAAACGAATCAGTAAAGAAAACTGAAAACGAGCTTCCAGTACCCTCCGGAAATATTGTGTCATTACAAGAGAAGGTGTTTGTTCCTGTGAAGGAAAACCCCAATGTTGGTTAACTTCATTTACTTAAATAATCCTAATATTTTAGTATAACTTTGTTGGACGCCTTCTCGGTCCGAGAGGATTGACTGCGAAACAGCTTGAACAAGATTTGGAGTGTAAAATCATGGTGAGAGGTAAAGGATCACTTAGAGACAAAAGAAAGGTAAAACGTGACGAATTAAAAATAATATATCAAAATTTCGTTGTCACTTATACATCGCATAGTATAAATTGTGCAGGCTTGATAACGTTTTATTCTTAATACTATGAACGTTTTGCCATGTTGATCAGAATTTTGTCTTCTGGTAAAATGGATGGTTTTATATCCTGCGGATATATTTTTTAACATGTTGCTGAAGTAGATCATTTTTAAATGGTTCTATAAGATGCCAGTAATAAACTGAGTTTTTATAGATGGATAAATAATATTTTGATATTTCGATCTGACATATTTCTATCGTTTGTACGTACGTATACATAGTAAAACTACTAGTGTTTTTGTGTACGTAAACTAATGTTATCACATTCGAAAAGATTTTTTTTGGAAGGGATATTACCGGCACCCAGTGATCACTTCATAGTAAAACCCAAGGAAGATGCCACAGATTGATGAAGTACAAATAATAGCTACTTAGTTAAGTGAACAGAAATCGGATAGACAAATTTGCTTCTTTTTGCAAGCAACGTTGTACTGTTTTGAAGATTGAGATAAGTTATCTGTGGTTGAAATCTCAAACGTTGAAAAACTTATCTGTAGATTTATTTTTTAGTCTTAACTGACGGGAACGTGTCAAGTAAATATTAACAATAACAAACTAGCTACAATATTCCTATTCACTAGCTGTTTTATAGGTCAATTACATTCTTGATTAAAGTTAATTCTTTCTGACAGTTCATCAACCACATGCTATGGTAGTTTAAAACATAAACCATGTGTACAGCTGTAGATCTCTGGGGAAATAAAAATATCTCATGACGGACTGAAATTTCCTAACGGAATTAGAGTGCCATAACGAGGAGTTATTTTATGTGTTTGATTATATAGTACACCTTCAGTTTTTTTGTGTTGCTATGTCACCCTATAAAGTAGATCATAGCAGAATTCTAAACATCTTGTATCAGAATTATTTGTTATGTTTGATGTATTTTCCACGTTTTTTCAATTACCTATGTACATATTTCCAACCACCACTTTAATAGTGTGATCTCTTTGAAAAAAGATGTTAATTCACGAGAATGCCCATTAATGGTCTTCAGTTTGGTTGTAGACCTGTATTTTCTCCACACAGATTATTATCGAGTTTTATGTTGTTTTTGGCATACCCAGGCATTTTAGCAGCAAAGTTGTATTTTAATTTCAATGTAATGGTGTTGATGTTTACTTACTGAAGGTATCGATTTCGTAATGACTCAGTTGTTCAACCAGATCTCAAAATTATCGACGTTTTTATTTTACTTTTACTAAACAGAATCCTTTTAGAATTTATAACCTGAGTAACATGTCCCAAATAACAATTCAATAGATGTTTTATATTTTCTACATGTAAATATATCAATACAAAATATTCCTATAGGAGGATTCAAACAAAGGAAAACCAAACTGGGAACACCTAGATGAGGAGTTGCATGTTCTGGTGAGCGTCGAAGATTTTGAAAGTCGTGCGCCGATTAAACTGAGAAGAGCGTCCGAAACAATTCGTGCATTTCTTGAGCAAGGAGTGAGGACGGTAAGTAGAGGTTTTTGAAATAAAGCACAAAATCATACGTAAACTGTTTTATTTAAGTCTTAGCTATATAGGACCTAAAACGTTCTGTAAAGAGATGCTTTTAAAAATTGCCTTGGAAACCAAAGCAGCGATATGTCGCGACCCGTTCAGAATTCAGTCATTGAAAATTTTCTGCTAGATCACAACCTAGTACTTTAGTCATCATCACTACGATTTAATCTCCTTAAAAAACTAGTCAGAGATGTTCTTTTATTTTTGTGCGTAACTATAATGAGTTTTGAGTTGAAGATGGATTTTGAAACACAAAAATACTTTGATATGGCAAAAATTCGTATAAATAATTTGCGAATAATTTTAAATTTGAGAATAAGCTCAAAGGAAGGCACTTTGAAAAAATCTAAACTTACTAATTTTTAGCGCGGAAACTGAGAGCAGGTTACGCAATAGCTACTAAACGTTCTTAGTAAATTTAATTCACTTTTGAAGGACGGGAAAAATCTGTTGGTCTTGTCGATAATTTTTGATAAGTTGCTTCATATCAGATGCGTATAAAACAAATATAAGGGTTCCAATGTTGCACTGTAATCCGTTGAATATAACCCTAAGTTATTGAGTAATCGATTAGATAAAGTACTAAGGTAAAAAATACCACTTCAGTTTGCCTAAATGAAATCAGTAAATATACTGTGCTTCATCAATATCTCAAAAACAGTCTACTATAAACAGGTAGTTGGCACTAGAAACAGTTTTATGCACTATGCACGCATATCATCAAAAGTAGTTGAATGACCGATTCTAAGTATATCTAGCTACAAAATGTCTGATTCTAATGATAACTAATGTTTATAATCCGTTACTTTACTTCGTTTCACAGTTTTATTGCATTTTTAAACTAATGCAGCCGTAATTACTCAAAATTCTTGATAGTTTGTTAGCTATTTAGGAATAAGTTTGTAACGTCAAAATGGGTTGGTATCTTAACGATTAAAAGCATATCAACGAAACTTAATCGGCTGTTACACTTTCATTTGAAGTGTTCGGATCGGGTTTTGAATGGTAGAAATTTAACTTAGGGAAACCACAGTTTTTTGGGGCGATGGGTTATTATTAGGAAATTAATTTCAGATTTTTGATACGATCGTTTTGTTTCGTACTTTTAGCCGTAGTTAAGCAACTGACTGTATTTGACCTTATGATGTCATAAACTATACTTTTATTTGCATCCTATCATTTAGGACCAAATTTTGTTGTTCTCGAATTAGCAGTGAACCATTAATTCTCATAAAGTTTTCTTCATATGAGTTCTAAGGTTTATTAATTGTCTGGTACAGAATAATACAGTTGTATAAACTTAGAGATGCTTTACATCAAGCAATTCCTAAGAATAAATATGATATAAATTTAAATATCAAAGTATTTCTGTTGACAGGTATCAATATCAAGGTTATACTTTATGGTTTCTAATAAATTGAACATTAGGTAGGGAGCTAATAATAAACTGTAGAGAGATTGTATTTCTGACGTTTCGGGACTTATTACAAGCCACTTCTTGAGATAAAATAAAATAAATTCACTCAAAAGAAGTGGCTTAAACTAAGTCATGAAACGTCGGGAGCACGATTTTTGTCTAGTTCCGAAGTATTTTAAGTTGTCGGTTACTCATAAAGTTGGAACGTCTTGAATCTCATCATTATATTCTTATAGAATATAGATTAAAATTGGTTATTTTAGCGTGCTTTTGTACATTGTTAATCTTTTTATAGGTCCCCAGTTAGATGTCAGTTCATAGTTTAATTCTGTTCATTCTTTGTGAAATACATTTCTTGGGTTTAGGTTTCTGATAGAGGCAAATTTATTATATTTGTTATATAAGATCACTTAAAAATGTCATTGGTTGGTTTTAGAGATCTGAAAGATTCATTTTAGTAATAACTAGTAAGCAAAGCAACTTTCAAGCTTTGTTTTACTTATTTAGCAAAAAGCATTATTTGAAATGCATACTGTATAGTTTCAAGTTAGAAGGATTATGAGTTATATTAAGTATTGAACAAATGTCCTAATGTTAGGTATGGTATTGATGGTACAGATAAACATCATTAGAAACGTATTATTTCTTTACATTATCATGGTTTACATCTAAACAATAGTTGTTTCCAGTCAAAAAGTTAATCATATCCATAACCTATTTTCTATCAATATCTTAACATGTTTAACGTGATTTTTCGGCATTTTTTTATTGTACTTGTTTTTGTGCGCATGAAATTTTTGTTTGGTGTGACAAGTTAGTGGTCTACTTATTTTAATTCATTATCAAACTCGAAAGTTTAAAGGAGTTTGGAATATTAGTGGTAAAGAAATAAGAAATATAATCCATTAGGTATAAACCTAAATTATATGTAATTATTTCCACTTAATTATGTTGTTTATATTCAAGTGAATGAGTATTATGATGTCTTAAGTCCCACGCTTTTGAGTTCCATTTTTCTCCGCAGTTCTTCCTGTCAGAAACTAACCATTCTAACTTTCCAGTAGTGCGCATCCACGATCCCACCCGCAGGATTCGAACCCAGGGCCCAGGGTGCGCACTGCTGAGGAGTCCCAGACTAGGACGAAACGGCTGTCTAGTGCTTCCGGGTTTTCCATGGTGGTTTAGCTTTAATTGACTCAAGAATGCAACTATTAAATTAGTAAAAAATCTCCACAAATCCCCTTCTGCTAATAATCCTAACTCTTTTGACCTGGACAATGTCTTCATTTATGATGACTGTCAGTTTGTGGATTTTTTGTGCTCTACTGAACGTTGTACTTTAAGCTTCCTGTTTTATCTGAAACTAGAAGAATACTGGACTCTACTAAGTCACATCAACAACAAGTATTGTTTAAAGTGTAAGTATTGTTTGCTACTATTTTACTAGCTTCATTGTAGATAAATATCTATTAGAAGCTGTCTCGAGATTTATTTATAATATGCGGATACTGACCGGGCTTTTTAATTGTACTAGCTTTCGCATCTTTCGAAGCTCAGACCAAGGTTTTCTGTTATTTGACAATAATGATCATAGTCGATCTTCAATCCTGGTTGATATAATACGACATCGAGGATTCAGATCAGTCTTACTTGCTGCTTCACTTACTGAAATGAAACATATCTTTAAAATTTAAACATACACTTAGCTGGTCAACGCCTATGACGAAAATTACCCAGATCCACTTCACCTTAAGAATAACTGTCGATCATCAAAGAAATACGGTCATAATGATGAGTTAAGTGGTCAAGTGACCATATTGTGAAAATGATCGATAAAATTCGACTAACACCAACATAACATTGTCGACAAGGAGCGTCAGTTAGTACCCATATCCCGGCACTAGTCTGCTGGAATAACTTTATAATATACTGATCACTTTCATTGACTCTTAAAACTAACATATTTAAAAAATTTCACCTGTTTTCAAAGAGTAATTTATAAATACTGTGAATGAAATCGTTGTCAGAGTAACTCATTTTTGTAACTAACTAGTTTCGTACCATCTCTCATTTTTTTAAGCAACTGATTATGTTCAGTTCTTTCATGTCATTCACCTATAAATGTTGTCTGTTAATGTAAGTCAACACTGGTTTTCTCCATTGTTACTGTCGCTAATGCTGCTGTTGTTCTTCAAGGATTGTAAAGTATCACAATGAATAAGCCATTCATTAAACTTCTTTTATTATTATTTAGTTCATGATAACAACATACTACACACAAATGAATTAATATAAACTGCAAATATCTTTGAAATTAATTATTATTTATTGAATAATATTTCACTATCAAATAATGAATACAAGTGAATGTTTCACAATGAGAAAAATGTTCTCATTGTATGAAATTATATTAATCATCGAATTTGAAACGTTTTATAAAATTTGTCATTTACTAATCTATTAAAAAGTAGTTAATTGACAACATAAACACAAAACATTTACTGTTAATACTACAGTTAAAAGCACACAATGAGTATAATAATACATTGTACATCGATTTTCCTAATTTCTTCTTAAACACACTACTCACATTTCTCAGTGGTTTTTTTTTCTGAAAAAAAAATTATTCTTTAGAGTTCACTATTTTTATATTTTTCATTTGTTTACTAATTGTTCATTCCTTTATACACTAACAATCGATAAATCAACAACTGTGTAGTGAAGAAGATACAGTATATATATAGAAACTAATTATTGATTTAAATCTAGTTTATTCAATAAAAGTAGCATTGATTTTGAGCGTGATAAGCTTAATATTGATATTTTATTTTATTAGTAGGCTAATAATAGTGACAATGAAATTAATTATTTCTTATATTCTAAAATTAATAATCACCACGTAGAGGAGTTTATAAATATATAAGCTAAAAAAGGACCTTTTTTTCATTTGATTATCTGGTTTATATAAGTTCATAATTGGACTATGAAAAAGAGTGATATTAAAATTATGATAGATGTGCCAAATCTATGAGAGTTAATTTTCATTATAGAAGAGTAATTATTGGATGAATGTGAATATGAGCTGTATTAGCGATCACCAAAAAAAGCGAATTTGTCTGTATAATTTTATGTTGTCAGATGTGATGGATTCCTGGAATACTTAATTGCTTATTGTTTTCCGTACATTCTGGTAAATGTATTGCTTTCTCATATCAAATGAATTCTGATGATTATTCTATGAATTTTCCTAGAAATATCCGTTCTATCCAAAGGTATAAATATTTTATGTATATATGGATTAAAGTCGGTACATGTTTCATACACGCAGATTTTTGAAGGATCATTAAGCAAGTTAAGCTATCAAGTCCAAGCTATTTTTATTGTCTTCTTTGCGCTATTTTTCAGTAACAAACTATGTGCTCATCTAACTCTACATGTCTAAAGTATACGATTTCACTGTTATGGAAACAAAATATGACACAGGACATTCATTTGAACTTTACTGATACTTTCTGTCACTCTTATTGTTTAG